AAGCGCTTCTGGTGCAGGTTGATCTTGCGGTGCCAGCGGCGGAAGATCTTCGTCGGCGCAAACATGCGGCCACCACGGCACATGTTACCGAACGCACCAGCACCGGACGTGCTCGTGCCACCGCCGCTGATGCGCGGGATACGCGCAACGGCGCGGCCGGTACCCCACGAGTGCGCGGAGTGGTTCATGCCGGACAGCCGGTTCACCGCGTACGCCTGGCGGGAGTTCTTCGCCATGTTCGTGTGCACGAACTGCACGATGTCGCTGCGGATCGGCGCAGTGAACACCGCAGGCAGCGGGCACGTGCCGACCACGGAGTCGGACGACGCGGAGTAGACGCTCACGGACGGGCGGACAGACATTGTTGAAGGCTCGTAGCTGTTCTGTCGATGGGAGGGTACGAGGAAATGGAGTGCAAAAAATAGAGAGTGTGTGAAAAGAACGTGATGTTGACGATGGGAGTGCATGTTTAGCCCTGCAGTGTCCACGGCAGCTTTTTCGTCCTGTGAGCTCCAGTGAGCTGTAACAAGGAAGGAGTCCATTTTTATGGAGTCCTCGCGTCCGGCAGTCCGCAGAGGCAGTTGTACGCCGCTGTCCTTCCCCGTTCGCGTAATCAACCATCGGCCCATACATCGAGGACAAACGAAAAGGCTACAAAATCCAACTTTTTGTCGCCAAGCGGTGACCTCAGCTACGCGCCTCGCAAGCACGCTTCTCCTTCGACAGGACTTGGATCACTCGAATTCTCGCATCAGGACGCCGTTGTTGATCAACGTGTTCTTTTGTTGGTGGTGTTATTCTTCTGTGCGCCTGCACGCTTCTCAGCACCGCATGGGGTCGCCATAAAGTTATGGTACTCTTTTGGACACCGCCTGCATTCACTGTCGAACGTTATTTACGTATTTTTTTATGCACCACACAGTACCTTCTTTAACTAAAATACCTTCACGTCTTCCCTTCCATGTCTGGAGGGCTTCCATGAACATAATATATATATATATATGTACCTTTCTTATATCGAGGCCGCCGCTCCCCTTGTCCTGCCCCTACGCTGGTCCGTTTAGTTTTTTGGAGCCTCAGCACACGGCACCGTCACATCCAACGGGCCAACCGCGTTGGTGCTGGTCCGGCTGCGAGGGAGGATGCACGACACCAGCGGCTCACTTCTTCGCCGGCTTCGTCGCGGCCTTCTTCGCCTTCGCAATGCGCGTCGCCTTCGCAGCGCGGCGGGCATCGCGGTTCTTCTTGTCGTGCAGGCCCTTCGCAGCAGCCGTCTCGCGCTTCACGTACGGGTTCAGGCGCAGGCGCAGGCGGCGGTTCTTGATCCCGTTCGTCGGCTTCTGGTAGCGGCTCGCCTTCTTCGGCTGCAGCTTCTTCGGCTTCAGCACGCGGCGCACCTCCTCCGACTGCATGATCCGCGTCACGTCCGTGTTCGTGATCATCGGCGCGGGCAGCGTGAAACCCTTCTTCACGGCGGACGCCTCGGTGAACGTGCCGAAGATCTTGTCCAGCTGCTCGAACGCGGACTTGGTCCAGATCACGAAGCGGCCAACGTGGCCACCGGGGGCGAGGTGCAGCAGGTTCAGCGCGCTCACGTTCGCCAGGTCCAGGCCGAAGATGTTGCGGAACGCACGGGTGCCCTTGTTGTCGGGCATCACCAGCATCGGGCCGCGGCGGGCCACGTAGCGGCGGTTGCGCATCTTGCCGCGGCCAGCGCGGATCTCGCGGGAGTCGTTCACGCGGTTCACGTCGTCGATGGCGGCGATCGCCTTCAGAAAGGCAACGGCCTCCTTCGTCTTCTCGTAGCCCTGGATCGAGTCCTCCACCACAAGCGGCACCTCCGGGATGTTCTCGATCTTGTGACCGCGCGACATCACCAGCGCAGGCACCGACGACGCGGCGAGCGCGGACACCACGGCGAAGCGCTTCTGGTGCAGGTTGATCTTGCGGTGCCAGCGGCGGAAGATCTTCGTCGGCGCAAACATGCGGCCACCACGGCACATGTTACCGAACGCACCAGCACCGGACGTGCTCGTGCCACCGCCGCTGATGCGCGGGATACGCGCAACGGCGCGGCCGGTACCCCACGAGTGCGCGGAGTGGTTCATGCCGGACAGCCGGTTCACCGCGTACGCCTGGCGGGAGTTCTTCGCCATGTTCGTGTGCACGAACTGCACGATGTCGCTGCGGATCGGCGCAGTGAACACCGCAGGCAGCGGGCACGTGCCGACCACGGAGTCGGACGACGCGGAGTAGACGCTCACGGACGGGCGGACAGACATTGTTGAAGGCTCGTAGCTGTTCTGTCGATGGGAGGGTACGAGGAAATGGAGTGCAAAAAATAGAGAGTGTGTGAAAAGAACGTGATGTTGACGATGGGAGTGCATGTTTAGCCCTGCAGTGTCCACGGCAGCTTTTTCGTCCTGTGAGCTCCAGTGAGCTGTAACAAGGAAGGAGTCCATTTTTATGGAGTCCTCGCGTCCGGCAGTCCGCAGAGGCAGTTGTACGCCGCTGTCCTTCCCCGTTCGCGTAATCAACCATCGGCCCATACATCGAGGACAAACGAAAAGGCTACAAAATCCAACTTTTTGTCGCCAAGCGGTGACCTCAGCTACGCGCCTCGCAAGCACGCTTCTCCTTCGACAGGACTTGGATCACTCGAATTCTCGCATCAGGACGCCGTTGTTGATCAACGTGTTCTTTTGTTGGTGGTGTTATTCTTCTGTGCGCCTGCACGCTTCTCAGCACCGCATGGGGTCGCCATAAAGTTATGGTACTCTTTTGGACACCGCCTGCATTCACTGTCGAACGTTATTTACGTATTTTTTTATGCACCACACAGTACCTTCTTTAACTAAAATACCTTCACGTCTTCCCTTCCATGTCTGGAGGGCTTCCATGAACATAATATATATATATATATGTACCTTTCTTATATCGAGGCCGCCGCTCCCCTTGTCCTGCCCCTACGCTGGTCCGTTTAGTTTTTTGGAGCCTCAGCACACGGCACCGTCACATCCAACGGGCCAACCGCGTTGGTGCTGGTCCGGCTGCGAGGGAGGATGCACGACACCAGCGGCTCACTTCTTCGCCGGCTTCGTCGCGGCCTTCTTCGCCTTCGCAATGCGCGTCGCCTTCGCAGCGCGGCGGGCATCGCGGTTCTTCTTGTCGTGCAGGCCCTTCGCAGCAGCCGTCTCGCGCTTCACGTACGGGTTCAGGCGCAGGCGCAGGCGGCGGTTCTTGATCCCGTTCGTCGGCTTCTGGTAGCGGCTCGCCTTCTTCGGCTGCAGCTTCTTCGGCTTCAGCACGCGGCGCACCTCCTCCGACTGCATGATCCGCGTCACGTCCGTGTTCGTGATCATCGGCGCGGGCAGCGTGAAACCCTTCTTCACGGCGGACGCCTCGGTGAACGTGCCGAAGATCTTGTCCAGCTGCTCGAACGCGGACTTGGTCCAGATCACGAAGCGGCCAACGTGGCCACCGGGGGCGAGGTGCAGCAGGTTCAGCGCGCTCACGTTCGCCAGGTCCAGGCCGAAGATGTTGCGGAACGCACGGGTGCCCTTGTTGTCGGGCATCACCAGCATCGGGCCGCGGCGGGCCACGTAGCGGCGGTTGCGCATCTTGCCGCGGCCAGCGCGGATCTCGCGGGAGTCGTTCACGCGGTTCACGTCGTCGATGGCGGCGATCGCCTTCAGAAAGGCAACGGCCTCCTTCGTCTTCTCGTAGCCCTGGATCGAGTCCTCCACCACAAGCGGCACCTCCGGGATGTTCTCGATCTTGTGACCGCGCGACATCACCAGCGCAGGCACCGACGACGCGGCGAGCGCGGACACCACGGCGAAGCGCTTCTGGTGCAGGTTGATCTTGCGGTGCCAGCGGCGGAAGATCTTCGTCGGCGCAAACATGCGGCCACCACGGCACATGTTACCGAACGCACCAGCACCGGACGTGCTCGTGCCACCGCCGCTGATGCGCGGGATACGCGCAACGGCGCGGCCGGTACCCCACGAGTGCGCGGAGTGGTTCATGCCGGACAGCCGGTTCACCGCGTACGCCTGGCGGGAGTTCTTCGCCATGTTCGTGTGCACGAACTGCACGATGTCGCTGCGGATCGGCGCAGTGAACACCGCAGGCAGCGGGCACGTGCCGACCACGGAGTCGGACGACGCGGAGTAGACGCTCACGGACGGGCGGACAGACATTGTTGAAGGCTCGTAGCTGTTCTGTCGATGGGAGGGTACGAGGAAATGGAGTGCAAAAAATAGAGAGTGTGTGAAAAGAACGTGATGTTGACGATGGGAGTGCATGTTTAGCCCTGCAGTGTCCACGGCAGCTTTTTCGTCCTGTGAGCTCCAGTGAGCTGTAACAAGGAAGGAGTCCATTTTTATGGAGTCCTCGCGTCCGGCAGTCCGCAGAGGCAGTTGTACGCCGCTGTCCTTCCCCGTTCGCGTAATCAACCATCGGCCCATACATCGAGGACAAACGAAAAGGCTACAAAATCCAACTTTTTGTCGCCAAGCGGTGACCTCAGCTACGCGCCTCGCAAGCACGCTTCTCCTTCGACAGGACTTGGATCACTCGAATTCTCGCATCAGGACGCCGTTGTTGATCAACGTGTTCTTTTGTTGGTGGTGTTATTCTTCTGTGCGCCTGCACGCTTCTCAGCACCGCATGGGGTCGCCATAAAGTTATGGTACTCTTTTGGACACCGCCTGCATTCACTGTCGAACGTTATTTACGTATTTTTTTATGCACCACACAGTACCTTCTTTAACTAAAATACCTTCACGTCTTCCCTTCCATGTCTGGAGGGCTTCCATGAACATAATATATATATATATATGTACCTTTCTTATATCGAGGCCGCCGCTCCCCTTGTCCTGCCCCTACGCTGGTCCGTTTAGTTTTTTGGAGCCTCAGCACACGGCACCGTCACATCCAACGGGCCAACCGCGTTGGTGCTGGTCCGGCTGCGAGGGAGGATGCACGACACCAGCGGCTCACTTCTTCGCCGGCTTCGTCGCGGCCTTCTTCGCCTTCGCAATGCGCGTCGCCTTCGCAGCGCGGCGGGCATCGCGGTTCTTCTTGTCGTGCAGGCCCTTCGCAGCAGCCGTCTCGCGCTTCACGTACGGGTTCAGGCGCAGGCGCAGGCGGCGGTTCTTGATCCCGTTCGTCGGCTTCTGGTAGCGGCTCGCCTTCTTCGGCTGCAGCTTCTTCGGCTTCAGCACGCGGCGCACCTCCTCCGACTGCATGATCCGCGTCACGTCCGTGTTCGTGATCATCGGCGCGGGCAGCGTGAAACCCTTCTTCACGGCGGACGCCTCGGTGAACGTGCCGAAGATCTTGTCCAGCTGCTCGAACGCGGACTTGGTCCAGATCACGAAGCGGCCAACGTGGCCACCGGGGGCGAGGTGCAGCAGGTTCAGCGCGCTCACGTTCGCCAGGTCCAGGCCGAAGATGTTGCGGAACGCACGGGTGCCCTTGTTGTCGGGCATCACCAGCATCGGGCCGCGGCGGGCCACGTAGCGGCGGTTGCGCATCTTGCCGCGGCCAGCGCGGATCTCGCGGGAGTCGTTCACGCGGTTCACGTCGTCGATGGCGGCGATCGCCTTCAGAAAGGCAACGGCCTCCTTCGTCTTCTCGTAGCCCTGGATCGAGTCCTCCACCACAAGCGGCACCTCCGGGATGTTCTCGATCTTGTGACCGCGCGACATCACCAGCGCAGGCACCGACGACGCGGCGAGCGCGGACACCACGGCGAAGCGCTTCTGGTGCAGGTTGATCTTGCGGTGCCAGCGGCGGAAGATCTTCGTCGGCGCAAACATGCGGCCACCACGGCACATGTTACCGAACGCACCAGCACCGGACGTGCTCGTGCCACCGCCGCTGATGCGCGGGATACGCGCAACGGCGCGGCCGGTACCCCACGAGTGCGCGGAGTGGTTCATGCCGGACAGCCGGTTCACCGCGTACGCCTGGCGGGAGTTCTTCGCCATGTTCGTGTGCACGAACTGCACGATGTCGCTGCGGATCGGCGCAGTGAACACCGCAGGCAGCGGGCACGTGCCGACCACGGAGTCGGACGACGCGGAGTAGACGCTCACGGACGGGCGGACAGACATTGTTGAAGGCTCGTAGCTGTTCTGTCGATGGGAGGGTACGAGGAAATGGAGTGCAAAAAATAGAGAGTGTGTGTGAAAAGAATGTGGGGGAAAAGAGAGGCAAGTAATGAAAAGAGAAGGAGTGGAGTGGACTTGAGGAGCACACCGTTTGGAGTGGGCGCTGGTTTCTTCGCATACACCTTGTTGCAGTGCAGGAACGGAAAGAATAGCTCCATTTTGTCGGCGCTGAAAAGCTGCTAACCGTCGGGAGGTGTTCTCATGCTTCATAGTGCTAGTAGAAAGTGTGTTTTATATTCACAAAAGGAGGATTTCCTACCTAACATCATCGCTTTCACGCGTTTGTGTTTGGTTGTTGCTGCTGTTTGTTGTACTCGTTCGCCGCCTCGCTCTTCGACCACCAACGGCCGCTTCTCGGCCTTCTCGCGAGAAGGCGGAACAGGTGAAGCGCGGAGGTAGGAAATAGTTGTATCAACAAAGTATCAATCAATCGATGAAGCAACCACGCACGTTCGCTGCACCGTGCAGATGCATCGGCCCGTCACGACCACAGGCTGTAGTAGACACGAATGCTGTCCTAGAAAAAAAAAACGCCTTCTTCTTTGCTGTTGGCATTTAGTACCGGGGTGCCAGCAAAGGCGGCCGGGAGTGCGCCGCTTCCGCTGGTTCTCTGTCAGCACTGCCCCCATGACCAAAAAAAAAAGAATGAGCAAGGCACAGTAGCTCTAAAGGTCGCCCCCCCCCCCCACCTGCACGAATGAGGCCTGCCTTACACGCCGCATCCGCCGTGCTTTTCTTTTCTTTGGTTTTTCTCGAGACACCCGCCCCTTCAGCATCATTGCTCTCACAACAGCGACAAATACGAAGCACTCGGCACGCCAACGTTGTCGCAGATCTCCTGCACCTTCCTCTTCACCAGCGAGTAGAAAACGTCGAGCTTCGTGCGGCGCACGGGAACGCGCTCGCCACCATTAAAGAGAGGCAGGGGTGCTTCCTCATTCCCTGCTTTCGACGTTGCTGTTGCAGTGGAGCCTGTCCTGCCCTCAGGCCCTTCGTTGCCCTCCTCTGGCGCAGCGGCAGGCTTTGCCAGCGACACACCGGGAAGAAAGTAAAAGAGATGCATGGAATCGAACTCCTCCTCGCTGAACTCCATCTGCACCAGCCCGCGGACGCACTGGAGAAAGGTGGCGAGCTTCTCCGCGTTGATCTTGTATGAGTGCGGAGGCAGCGGCGCGGAGTCGATGACGTTGGCGCGTCCGCCGGCTAACGTGTTCGCACGCACCGCTTGGCCCTGCATAAACGACGTCGTCGATGGCGCCGCTGCTGCGGACACAGAGTTCACCGCAGTCGGTCGCGCAGACGGACTCGGTCCTGTCGTTGGGGTCTTCCCAGTGCTGCTCTGCAGAACGACGGGGCGGGGGGATGCTGCTGGTGGTGGAGGTGGAGGCGGTGGGGCAGGCGCCGAGACTCGCGGCGGGGCGCCGCCACCTGGCGAGGGGAATGAGTACGGCGTCAAGTTTCGACTGTGCAAACTTCCATTTCGAATCGAGTCGGCATTGCCCGGTACGAGGTACGAGGTGGTGAGGGCCGACGAGGCGGTGGAGGCGCCGCCTACGTCCATTCCCCCACCACCGCTGCCACCACTTGAGTGAGACAGATACGCCGTCGGCACGGTTAGCTCCATGGGGGCGCCGACCACCGTCGCACGCTGCCCTTCGTTCTCTGCCGGCATCTCCTGCGGCGCCGGGGAAGGCGTCAAGTTCGTGCTGTACGATGCCGCCGCGAGCCGGCCAAAGAGCGAGGTGCCTTTGGAGGGACTCATCTCGAGCGAGTCGACCAGCGAACCCGGTGGCCACCCGCCGGCTTCGGAGTCGACGGAGATGACCCGTTTAAAGTGCAGACCGGCGAGGGAGGATGGCGGAGAGTCGCCGGTGGCGTTGGTGGGGGGTCCTACCGGGGAGGAGCTCGACAGCGCTGGGGCCCCCACGACGGGCACGCAACCCCCACCACTGCCGCCGCCGCTATGCGCCTTCGCCACGTGCAACGACGGCACCGGGGCGTCGGAGTATAACGCCGTCCTGGTGTTGTTCGTCACGGCCGCCGCGTCGGGTGGGCTGCTGCCGCTCGTCATGGAGGTCGGGGAGGTATACGAGGGTGTGCGGCGCAGCGACTGCGTGCGGCTCACCGGCACCTCCAGTTTGTGCGGGCGGCGCAGCAAGCTCGTGCTGCGAGAGTAGGCTGCCACCGCGGCTGGCGACATCTCCGCTGAGTCGGGGGAGCGGGCGGAGGTGCTACTGCTGTTGTAATTATTGTTGTTGCTAAAGGAGTTGTTCTGCTGGCTGCTGGTGGTGTTGGGTGCAGGCTGGCTGAGGGCACTCATCCCACTGTTGCCCTGCGAGCGTGGTTGGCTGTACGGCTGCGCCAGCACCGGTGAGCCGATCAAGGAGGAGGAGATGGAGACGACGCGCTTAAACGGGGACGATGTCGCGGTGAAGGTCATGTCGCTGTCGAAGCGGTGGTGGGCGATGATGCTGCTCGCATTGCCCTGCACACGCGTGTTGCTACTACCCGGACTGTTGTGGACGTGGGTCCCAGGCGAAGTGTCCATCGGGAAGGGCGATGTGTTGCGGCTTCCCGTGTGGGACGCGGCAAAGGTGTCACTCACGCGAGAGAAGGAGCGGGGGTTCACGCCGGTTGTGCTACCGCCGCTGATCGACCGGGAGTCTCCTCTCTCCGCGTTCACCACCACCACTGTTGCATCGTCGTCGTCCTCCTCGTCCTCCTCCCCCTCCCCTTCCGGTGTCGTTTTCCCTGAGCCCTCCCACACGTACGCCTTCAGGTACGCCGGGATCGAGGCCATCACCGCCGCCGTCGCCGCGCTGTTGTCGCCGTGTGCTGCATGAATGGACGAGGAGGTAGCAGAGGGCTGGGCAGCAAGTGTGCTCCGCAGACCCGCTGGCTGCTCCGGTGGCGGTGGTGCTGGTGAGGGTGCTGGCGGCGGTGCCATGTTGCTGGGAGCAGGAAGGGTGTGCGCCAACTCGGCCGAGGGAGGAGGTGATGGGGAGGGGGCGGAGCTGTCCTCCTGCTGCGTCGCAGAAGCGCTCGGGACGGCGGAGTCGGGTCGTGCCGTCGTGGCAAAGGAAGCGTCACCCTGTGCTGCGTCGATGTTCGGACTCACGCTTCCCTCCTGAAACACCGTGACGACGGAGTCCTTCCCTGCCCCCGTGCCACGCCTGTCGTCTCCCCCCGCCAGCATCTGTTGGATCGACACGGCGGTGTGGATCAGCGTGTTCAAGGCCGCCATGTGCGCCTCTGGGTTTCCCTTGACGGCCGACGCCCACCGCAGATTTCCATCGTTGCCGTTCGTGGGCTGAGAAGCGCTCCTCGTCCGACCACCATTTAGGTGACCTTTTCCGCTCGTGCAGATGCCGCTTTCGCTGGCCGCGTCGGCGGTTACCTCGCCCAGGGAGCTCCACTGATGGACGTAGGCCCACACCGCTGCGATGTCCACCGCCACACGGCCCAGCAGCTGCGCGATGCGGCGGCGCTCAAATTGAGAAAAAGAGAGAACCAGACGAGTGCCGGCCGTTGCTTTTTCTTCTCTGTGATCGGCAGGGGCGGCGGAATGAACCTCTGGTATGGCGGAGGAGTTCGGCGCCTTGATGAAGGGATCCGCTGACGCCGGCCTTGCTGTTCGTGGCGTTGAACCACCCCTTTGGCCCCCGTCTGTTGGGCATGGAACACCGACACCACTACCACTACTATCACCTCCGCCTTGGGCCTCGACAGGGTCGTAGGGGTGTTCGTCGCGGTACTCGCAGGCACGCTGTACACGCAACAACGCTGCCTGTATGGACTCAATCTTTTGCTGCGCTGCCTCCGCGGTCAGCAGGGAAGTCGGCGAAGCAAGGAACGACATGGAAACGATGAAGAGAAGAGAATCTGCTAGAAAAAATCAAGAGGGAAATAAAATCCAGCGCAGGTACAGCTATTAATGAAAGCAGCATTTAAAAATAAAAGTCGTGGAAGAAGAAGCGTGCGTGCGCGGCCGTGCTGCCGAATGTGTCCAGACTCTAGCCTCTCATCCCAACAGGATGCATCGAGTAAGGTTGTCGCTGATGAACCGGGAGAGGAAGATGCGTCAGATCGCCTTGGCCTACGGAGAAACGACTTGAGAAGAAATACGAAGTAAATAAAGAACTCTCGAACACCAAAGGCAGACTGCTCAGTCAGCGTAAGGAGGGAGAAAAGAAAAGAGAGAGATTCGTAGCTGTATGCCTGATCAACCGACACGAGCACCACTCCAGTGCGTGAGCGTCCTCGCTGTTAGCGTGTGAAAGCTGTGCTGTTTGGTTTTTTTTTTCTTTTGAGGGAAGCCCAAAAATGAATTAAAAGAACTGAGATGTGTTCCTCTTCGCCTCTGTGGCGCTTCGACTACAGCCGTGGGAGGAAGAAGAAGTCGACGACGAAGGAGAGGAGATGTAACAACTTGGCCCAAAGCGTTGGGAGAACAGGAGAAAAACATATATATGTATCAACACCATACACTCTTCCTTGCATTGAACGCCGCAAGAGAACACCGAAAGCACGTCAAGTATGAGGAAGGCGATGCACTGCGGTGCACCGTTGGCGCAAGGTAGTCCGAAAGGTCGGTGCAACGCATGTGAGAAGTGCATTGAAAACAGTTCGGCTGAAATGCAGTTCCAAAAAAGGAAAAGGGAGTTCGTCGCAGTGACGCAGCTTGAGCTGCCCAATTCCATTCTGTGCATATATTTTTGTTGCCCTCTCACTTGTCCCACGTGCATAGAGAGGTTTGATCGCCGTTTTGAGTAGCAGTAAGCTATGGCTCCGCTCCAACTCTCACGTTGAGGGTGTTGAAGCGAGTACATGAGTCTTGGCCAGTTCAATAAGGTCCGCCTTGCGCCGTGCTGCGCCGACGTTGACGCCGACCAAGGATAGGTACTCCTTTAACAGCGACACTGTTAGCAAGTCCCACGCATTGCGCGCGGCTGCATCACGGATGGCGCCTTTGATGCGGCCCAGCATCACCTCGTCTCCCACCCCGCTACCTCCCATACCCTCCGCAACAACGGTGTTGCTGCCTGTGCGTGGACGGCGCACGGCATGCGGTGCGGAGGACGGAGGAGGGCAGTACGCTGCTGCACTGTAGTCACTCCCTAGAACCTCTCTGTTGAAGACGTGGAAGCAGTGGGCGTGTGAAAGCATCTTGCTTGGGTTCAGCACGGTGCTATCCACCACATGCGGCTCTGCATCCGCCACCTCCACCTCATTGCCCTCCTTCTCCTCACCATTCCCCTCCGCCACCCAGCTTGACATTTCGTCGTCGGACTCAAAGATGCTGTGGTGCAAGGGATAACGTTGCTGGGCAAGACGCTGCAGCACGGCGTACTGCCGCTGCAAGGCGGGGTTCCTTCTGTCATCGGTGTTGTACGGCTCGGTGAGCGCGGCGACCACCTCCTTTGCCAGCTCCAAATGCGCCGGGTCGACGCTGCTGTCCTCCAGGCACGGCGTGCTTAGGCGGCTCGCCAAGGCGCAGGAGCTTAACTGTGGCACACGGCGAAGGTCCTCGGCAAAGGGCAGGGGTACGACGTACAAGCCCAGCCCTTCCGCCGGGACCTGATACCGTTTTGCAGGGTCGCTGCGCAGGTCCGGTGAAGGGACGAGCGCCACAAGACGCGGCGCCGCGGTAGTCGTACTGCGGTACTGTGCAATGGCGGCCCTCCCCTTTGCTCGGAGGCGGCGCACCAGCAGAACAAACAAGTGGTGCGACCGCGGGCCGCCCTTCTCTACGCAGACGTGCAGGAAGGACGAGCGGCGGACAACGTGCGCGTGTTGCAGCACATCCTTTACGTCCTTGAAGAGCAGAATCGTGAAGCCGGCCTCTGCGTCACCCGCGGCCACCTCCGTGATCTTTTGGCGCTCCTGCTTCGTGAAGCACACCCGATCCCCGCCCACCTTCGCGTAGCAGCCAAGTTGTTCGACGCTGACCTCCACCTCCGCCGTCTCGTCGACCTTTTCTTCCCTCGCGTCGTCTTTGCAGGTGTGCAGGTGGACCACACGCCGCACGGCTCGGTTTGTTTGCCGATCCAGCCACTCGTGCGGGGGCGGCCGGGCACGTAGGAGAGGAGTGTAGAGGCTTACCGCCATGCGCGGTGCGGTGGCAGCGGCCGGTCCGCCTCCATCGTCCTGTCCGATCAGTCTGCCGATCCGCAGCAAGCAACGGCGGAAGGGCCGCTGCGGATGCGCACGACGGGCCACCGTGCTCAGCAGCTGATGGAGGGCCGCCGTACCTGCGTGGATGTGCACCGCACCCATGCCACTGCCGCTCACGTAAGCTTCAGGACGGCCAGCAGCAAGAGCAGCAGTAGCAGCAACGGGGGCATTCCTTTCGCCAGGGGATTGTGCTGTGGGTTGTACCGATGGCACCTCCATCTCCTTCAACAGCGGCTCCCAAAAGAACGTTGAGTCGAAGGCGGCTCTGTCAGCGTCATAAGAAGCGGTGGGAGAAGCAGCAGTCAAGAGTGCAAAAGAGGAGTGAGCTATTTGGTTGGGATCGTCGTGGGCCACGTCGCTTATTGGGATGGAGGTGGGATCGGCAAGAATGCCCGCCCCTGTCGAAGTCGGCCTGGCGCTGTCACCGAACCCAAACACCTCCAGCGTGGCCCCCACATCAGCCAACGCACGCACCCGCTCACGGCACTGCTTCCACTCACCCGAGCGCCCCTGCGTAGGATCGCTCTCGTTGGTGAACACGAACAGCCGCTGGTGTTGGATCGTTTCCGGTTCACAGGCGTTCAGGAATATATGCCGTGCCACCCAGAGCACGTCGCTGAAGCGACAGACGGCAGCACCACCCGCCTGAACAGACGCATCCGGATCGCCCCTGGGCTGTCTGCTCGGCGCCGGGCGAGGCACGTGACCAATCGTCTTGACAAACTCGTCGTAGGCAGGAGATCCGTAATTCCCCGCAGCGCCCAGGTGCTCCACACGCTGGATGCACTGCGTCCCAATGTGCGTGGCGTCTTGCGTTACGTAGATGCCGGAAAAGGCCGCCGCGTTGGCGCACTCGCGGGTGTTGTAGAGCACCACCGCCACCTTGTCCTTGTTTGTCCACACGATCTTCTCCGTGAGCAGCGTGCGAATGCTTTGCAGAGTCATCGAGAAAAACGACGCGGTCGTAGGCGTGCTGGTCTCCGCCTCCGTGATGCCGTTACTGTTGCTGCTGCCTTGTGTGGAAGAGCTGCTGAGGCTGTTGCCGGCCCGAGGTGACGGGTCGCCTTCACCGGGCAGTCGGGTGGAGCCAGAAGCGTCCGGCACCGCTTCATTTGATCGCGTCGGTGGTGGAGGGGAGCAGCGAAACATCTCCGTGCTGCAATCCACGAGGCACACGACCACCTCGCACTCGTGGTGCTGCCATGCCGACTCGTCTGCTTCGTCAGCATCACACGCGTCTACGTCGTTGTCTGCCGCGCCGAGGTCCGCCGTGCCTTCGTAAAACTCTGCAAGATCGGCCATGAAGGAGAGAGGCGGAAAAGAAGCTGGGGGCTATAGAGAACGCTCGGGAGTGATGGAGGAGCAAGGGACGGAGAAAAAAAAAAGAAGTGGAGTGTAAGCGCTCGCACCGCGCAGACGAGCAGACTTATTTCGGTGTTCCTCAGCAGTGATTTCCGCAGCTCATGCGAGTGGGAAAAAAAAAAGGAGAAGAATGATGAGAAATACAATTGGAGGACAGTTGGGCGCAGAACATGCACCAATATATCTCGAAGACACAAAGCACCATACTTCTATTCCGCCTACGCCTCAAACTGGCAACGCATTCGCTGATATGAAACAACGAAAAACATAAACTGATACAAGAACACATACATGTCTGCGTTTATTCTTTTACTTTGCCGCAGCTTTCAAAGATCAATAATGTTGAGCTGCCAATCAGCTTCCGCGAAGGCGTCTTTCCATTTTTCCTGAGAGCGATGTGTGGTCCTTGTCATTCTAGTTTACGGTGTTTCGAACACGGCAGAAGTCATTGCGTCGTAGTCATACAGTGAAGAAGAGAATGAAGAAGTCGCTCACAGATAAGAAAAAAAAATCTAAGTCGTCCTTCTGCGATGCTTCTCATAACACGAAGCCCGTCGCCATTTTTGTCTCCGCTCCAGATGCAGGGGCGAGAAGACAAAGAAAACCTCTGAAGAGGATCCGGAGGCGGCGAAGAGACTTGTGAAGGGAACAGAAGAAAAAAAGACGCTTCTAAGATTGAAAGCCACGAGAAAACAACGACCGCCATGTATACATACACATATACATCTATATGTAAAGCGAGAGAGGTTCTCGTCACGGAAATAAACAAAAATATATAAGGAAAAATTTCTAACTAAGAAAAGGGAAAAGGTGTGAACGAAGCAACACAAAGGGGCGCAGAGCCCAAGTACGACTGCAGGAACAGGAAAAAGACGAGAGGAAAAAAATGGGCGGATGTTGAATAACAATACATGAAGCGAGAGACTGCGGCCACGACACGAAACGGCGCAAAGCAGAAAAGAGAAGAAAGCCGCCCCGTGTAGACTCCAGACACAATTGACGCAGGATGAGAGAAGGCGAGAGAGATCAGCAGTGTTCCGTTACTTCAGATGTTGAGCCACGCTGGTTGGCCATCCTTTTCCTCCACTTCAGCTGCAAAACCCTTTTCCGCTTGTCCCTCCTCTCCTTGGTCTGACTCCGATTCGAACTCCTCTTCATATCCCACTTCCTCTTCTTGCTCTTCCTGCGCGTTCTCCAGACCATCGTGGCGGTCCCATTTACCGGGCTCACCCTCCTCGGCCTTTGCAGAAGAGGCTGCAGCAGGAGCGGCAGTAGCAGCAGCAGCAGCAAAGGATGAGTTCCCCGAAGTGTTCCCGACCATGTCTGGCGCGCTCAACACCGCAGAGTGCTCATTTTCCACCTCCTCCTCCTCCTCCTCCGATTCGCCGCTGGAGTACTCACCCTCGGAGCCGTCCATGTAGTCCTGCGTGTCGTCCGCGTTCCACAGTTCCCGCGGCGGCGTCACGGCAACGCGGTGATCGACCGCCGACGGCGTCGCCTGCTCCTCCGTGCTGTAGGAGTAGTTTTGTGGGCTCTCGTAGCGGGCCGGCAACTCCGGCTTCGGCCCGCGCAAGTGAAAGTCCGCGGAGTCCCCCATCGCCGGGTGCGGTGGCGAAGTGGGCTGCGCGGCGGGAGCGTCAAACGACGGCCGTCCAGACCCCACGTCGTCGTCTTGGCTTTCATCCACCGTGGGGCCAGCTGTGCGGTGGGCAAACGCAGCCCTGTACGACGTGTCGGTGCTGCTCGTCGCAACGACGCCATCGCTTATCCGGTGCCTGACGGGCTGCGACGGTGTCTTTGCGGGGGGAGGAGGGGCAGGGGCGAAACGGAGGCTGGGGGCGGCGAGAGCGAAGGTGGAGGCCCCGCCGCCGGCCCGCCCGCCTGGGTGTGCCAGAAGCTCCTTGTAGGCGGCGAAAAAATCCTCGCGCTGGCGCAGCCACGTCTGGCGGTCAGCATTGTTCATCTGGGCCGTTGGGCTCTGCAGCGGTGCGGGGGGAATGCCCAGCCGGCCGACTCCCACCGTCGCCACCACTCGCCGTGGCCCGTCTCGCGTGCCAGCGCCGCCGCCCGACGGCGTCGATGCGGCCACGACGTGCATCGGTGTCACATCCGCCCTTCCGCCGTGCAGTTGCAGCTGTCGCTGCTGCTCGCGCTGCTCCTGCCACAGCTCCATGTCGTTCGTGTACCGCGACAGCACGTCCTCCGTCGGGACGGGCGCGTTCGCCAGGTGCCGCAGTTCTCGCTTCATGTAATCCGGCCCGGCTTCCTCACGCAGCGCGGCCGGCACGGAGGCACGTCGCAGCGCATCGTGACCAATGCGGGCGAGCTGACTCCGCCACACCACTAAGAGCGCCTGCTCTTGTTCATCCGGCGTGCCCAGCGCGGCGGCCACGGCGGCGCGGTGCTTCACAATGCGCCCGTTGCGCAGTCGAGCCCCGTCCCGCTCCCGCCGCTGCTCCCGCGCCACGGCGTTCAGCCCGTTCACGTCGCGCTGAATGCGTCGAATGACGACCTCCGTATCCTCCAAGGTCGGCATCGTGAACGGCTCCATCCGCGGCGCGACCGCCGAGTTCGGGTGGTCGCCGAAGACCCCACTCATGTTATTGTACCCGTGTCCGCTGACGCTCTCTTCAAATCTAAAAGCAGAGGAGCTGCGGCGCAAGGCCGCCGCCACCGCAATCGCCGTGATCGGGCGTGACACGCGAGACGCGCTGACCGGCGCACCGCTGCGCTCCCCCGACCCACCCACCTTCTCAAGAGAACCGTCAGGGCCAGCACCAGCACCTGCAGCAGCACCGCCATCAGCGCCGATTTGAATTGTTGGGGGGTACTCTACCCACTCGGGAGAGAGCAGCTCCAACGGGCCGTAGCCCTCCACAAAGAGCGTGGGTGGGTAGCGACGACGGATGTTGCTGTAGAAGTAGTCGTTCAGCGCGCCGCTTTCCGGCGCGACTGCGAACGGCGGTGCACCGGCGTTGGCGCCGGCATTGATGTTCACTTGACTCCTGCGCTGCCCCGCTGGGGGGAGGTCGGCACCGGCATTGTTCACGGCACTGCTCGCAGGTTGTGCGCTGCCTAGTGTGAGCTGGTTGCCGCAGTGCCAGCGATCGCGCGCCGTGGCGTGCGTTAGCGGCGGGTATGTCGGGGCGGTGTTGTTCGTCAACACCACCTCCTCGTTGGACGTCAACTCCGCCGCGTCTGCGAGCTCGCCGCCGTGGGCGTCCGTGTTGACCGCGTCCCGTGAGGGCAACCCGCTCAGCGGCGTTGTCGTGGGGCCACCGCCCGCCGCCGCCATCTCGAGTCGATCCAGCAACGACGGCCGCCTCAACCGGCGCTGTGGCTCGCCGAAGACGTCGAAGTTCGAAGAGAAGGCAGACGCGTTACCGCTGCGCGACTCCGTGACGTGTCGAGCGGTTGGTGACTGACCAGAGGCGGTGCCACCACCGCCGTTGCTACCTGCGGCGGCATTCCACGGCACACCGTAGTGCTTGCGCAGCAGATCGACTGCCTGCACTGGTTCGCGCTGCAGCATACGTTGGAAGGCCTCATCAGACCACCGCTGTCTGCTCTTGCCGGCGGAGCTGCGGAACGGGGACGGCGTGTGGACGGAGCTGGTGCGCCTCACGGGTGGGCTCGGCGGCTGCGGTGTGTGTTGTGGCAGTGGCGTTTTGGGGAAGGAGAGGGACGGCGACCGCACCAGGCCCTCCGCGTCGCCCTTCGGGGACCGCACCTGCAGCTCATCTGTCAGCGTCAACCCGTCAGGCGGACGTGGGCTGATGCTTTCGTTGCCAGGGCTGTCTTCAAACGACATTTGACGAAGCGGGGTGGTGTTCATCTGGTCTGCCGCTGCGTCCATCCGCGCCGCCACCGTCGTGCGCATCATCGTGTACAGCTTGCGCGCTTTACTGCGCAGCGTGGCCGCGGCCGCGGCTTCGGCGGCTGCCTTCTTCGACTCCGTCGAGCCGCCGTCTTCGAGGGCGGAGGCCGCAAACAAAAAGTTGTGCTTGTTGTAGCGGTCGTTTGGGGTGATGGACATGAGGTGCCGCCGGGCACGCTGCCCGGGTGGTCCGAGGGCAACGTCCGGGTCGACGAGGGAGACGGAGTACTGAATGTGGGTAATGTCCGGCAGCTGCATGACGTAGCCGATGGCGACGGCCTCCCTCAGGTCGAGTTCGTACTTTGGATTCTCAGCCTGAAGAAAGATGTGCACCGGCGCAAGGCTGACGTCCGCATGGGAGAAGTGCGAGGTGGTCGGCGCGGGGGCCAGTGCGCCGCCCTCGCGGCCCCCCACCGCCGCCTTCGTTTGACCACGTGCGGGAGAGGACGGACGCTGCGGCGCGGCGGCGGAGGCGTGCAGTGCTACCTGGTCGCGCACCGCGGCCTCCCGCTGACTCGCCTCTTGCTGCGCCAGCGTTGCCTCGTGCCGCTGCTCCGCCGCCCAGGTCCGGTTGCGCTCCTCCAGCAACCTCGTCATGTGCTGCAGACGGGGAGGCAGCGTGATGGCGTGCTTCGCAAAGGCGCCTCTGTTGAAAGCGCGTCGGGATGTAGGGCGGCCGCCACCTGTGGTCGCTGATGGCGCAGATGCGCTGAAAGGGGGAGCTTTGGCCTCATCGGGCAAGAAGGCGTTCTTGACCAGAAAGGCGCCAGCACTCGCCACTCGGCAGCGTGGGCCACGGGGGCCGTCACCGTGTGGAGTCGGGTCGCGACTTCGTCGGCCGGAGCTGCTGGCCCGCACCGCGTTGCGGCCCGAGCCGGCCGCCGATGTCTTCGTGCCGGCCGCTGCGGACCCTGCGATCCTCTCGCCGCTCTCCTTGCCCGCGGCGTTTTCGGTAGTAACAGGGACGGCCGTCGTTTTCCGCCGCTGGCTTGAAGCCGACGGGGACTGGTGCTGTTGGGTCAGCGCGGACGCCACGGACTTTGTCCTGCTGCCGTTGAGGTGACGAATCGCCAGCTCTCGCGCCAGCATGTTGAGCGGGTTTCCCTGCAGCTTCGCCGCCCCGCCGTCGACGCAAGAGTAGTCGATGTCCTCCCACCGCACGTAGTCGCGGTGCAGAAAGCACAGCGCCCTCAGCTGGACCTCGCTGACTGCGTGAGCGAAGGCGAGGTAAGTGGTCCCGCCAGGCGCGGCGCCGACGGTTGGCATGCGCTGCCGCCCCACCGCGTCCACCTCAATCGGCGGCTGCGGCTCGCCGAAGATCCGCTTCATCAGCAGCACGGTCTGACTCGTCACGAGGCCGGAGTAGTGGTGCAACTTGTCCACGAGACGGAAGGCGTCGCGGAGCTGGTCCGCCTTGATGCGCCAGCCCTCCACCATCGTCCGCGCGGCAAGCCCCAATGGCCAGCGGTGGGGCACCAAGCAGCCCTCGCCCAGCACGTCTCCTGGGCCGTAGGTCGCCACGCCTTCGCAGATGGTCGAGACGGAGCCGTGCATGATGAAGATGACCTCCTTGCACTTGGTCGACGTGCTCACGACGAGCGAGCCCGGCGCATACACCACCGGCTCCAGTCGCTCCTGGATGAGGCGAAGAGCGATATCCGGCAGCGGGCGGAGCAGCTCGGAACTGGCACGCAGCTGCTGCGCCAGAGCGCGGGTCAGGCGCTGCTCACTCATCCACTCAATCCGCAGCACCGCCGCCTTCTGCAGGAGACCGTCACGAACGCTGGTATCGCGCTGCATGAGACGTGTGAAGCTGCGGCGCGGCAGGCACCACGCATCGCAAATGGTGGCGGCACGCAGCACGCAGTGGCGCGGCTCCGGAAAAAGGACGGACAGCTCACCGAAGGAGGCGCCGGACTCAACCACCTCGTCGGGCTGCGCTCCTGCCGAGATGTCCGTCGTGCGCCAGCACTCACACCCGTCACGTGCTGCACGCGACGCAGCACCCCTTTGAAGCGCCGCGGAGTTCAACGGAGACCTCCTCCCGCCACCAGCGGCCGCAGCAGCAGCACCGGCACTGACCTTCGGCAACGTGTACACGCCCAGGCGACCGCGGCGGAGAAAGCACAGCTGCCGCTCTGCGCCTGGTGTGTGCGGGCAGGCGATGACCTCGCCCGGCATGTACGTGTGCGGCTCCAGGTGTGTGATGAGGGTGCGGATGGTGTGCGACGGAGCGTCCTGCAGCAGCCAGCTCTGCCGCATCATCAGCTCCACCGCGGCGTAGTCATTGTAAAGGGTGCGACGGCGCGCCGCCACAACGAAGTCCGCCATGGTGCGCACAGTGCCATGGGCAACGGCCTCCCCGGCAGCGGCCGTACACCACGGCACGTAGCGGAAGGGTGACTTTGCCTGCCGCTCGGCCTGCTGCTCCGCGGCTAGCTGAATCAACGCTGCGTGCACATCGGCGGTGCGGACACGGAAGGCCTGCACCACCTCCACCTCGTCGGTTTTGTTGCTGCTGCTGTTATTGATGGTGCTGCTCAAGTTGCTTGTCTGCCTCACCGGTCTGCCCGGTTCGGCAGAGGCGATGTAGCTGACGTACTTGCACGGCGCCAAGCCAATGGCCTCGCTGGCCCCCAGCACCACCGGACCACTCAGCTGCTCCATGCGCGTGTACTGCAGGGTCGGCTGGCCCACGGTGCGGCTGGCGCGGCGCAGCGATCGCTGAATTGCCGTTGTCACGTTTGACGTGGACGCCGCATCGACTGCGGCTCCCGACTCGCTGCCGTTGTAGTCGTCCAGCAGGAGGGCGGCATCCTGCACGGCGCCCCCACCGCACAGCCGCACCACGTCCTTCGCGGAGGTAAAGTAAGTCTGGCGCTCCTTGCGGCTGCTGCCACCACCACCGGTGCGACGCTGCTGGGTCGGCAAGGACGGCGGTTGGAAGTGCATCACCGTCACGGTGCCGGACAGCATGATGTAGACGAAGGACGCCTCTGGCGGCTCGCGCGGGTAACCAAGCACGCTGCCCGCCTCCATGCAGATGGGCGAGAGTTTGCTACCCAGGCACTCGCCCAGCCCTTTTGCGTCCACATCGAAGCTGGCCGTGCCGCCGTCCAGCATCAGGTCCCCACCCGCGGAGCTGAGGGACTTGGCCAGCGAAGCGACAGCGACGGTGACCATCTTGGTGTAGGCGACCGTGCCCATTGCAGGGAAACGCTCCTTCGATCTGCGCTGACGCAGCAGGAGCTGCTTTTTAAGACGCATAATCGGTACAAAATACTCCCGCAACGCAAAGCCGGGCAGGGCTTCGAGGGCGGTGTTCATGTAGGTGAGGCGGTCCATGGAGATGCCATGAATCTCAGCCGTGTTATCACGACTGATCGAAGAGCCGTGCTTGCCAGCACCGATGGGGTTGATGCGTCGCTGGTAGGAAGTGCGCTGCGAGCTGCGCCGACGTCGCGCGGCGTTGACAGCGTAGCCGGCGGCGCTCTCGACGACGCTGGGAGCGCCCGGTCCGGACGAGACGGTCAACATACCTAACAAACAAGCAGAGAAACCAAAGAAGAACGAAGAAAGAGTCTAAGGAGAACGAAAGGAAATAAGACGAAAAAAAAACAGAATCAGAAAGCAACGTGAAAGTTTTTTGACCCAGAAAACTCCGAAACAAACCGGTGCCGCTGAGAAGAGGCGATCCACCCACAGCGAGGCGGATCAAATACGAAACGCAATGTGTTTTGAAGAGAAGAGAGAAAAGAGTTGCACGTCGCACCGCAGTTTATTGCAGGTTCACCGTCCTGTGCACGTCGCGAGGCGAAAGACGCGGTGACCACGCAGAGAGCAAGAAAAAAACTAATCTAAAGTCACCACGTAGGCGTGACAGTGATTCGGGCGCGGGTACGCGAATGTGTACAATTCTGAAAGGCAACTCGGTTCACTTGTGTGTGCTGTGAACACAGGCAAATACACGCAGTTGTCACAGCACTTTCTAAGCCACATTGCATGGCACGCAAATTGGGAGTAAAAGAGAAGCCAAAATGTCAAGAGGAAACAAAAGGTGAAAGTAAATGCACCGAGTACAGTTTTGGCTGCCAAGATCAACGAGAGAGACTACAGTCGAGACTCCGTAGGTAATGTAGGGTCGTTGTGCTTCGCGGAGTACTCGGAACTGTCACAGCGATATTACGGCCTCGCCATGTCGGACACGCTCGCACGCTCCGTCAGCGTGAAAGGCAAGTCAATAGCTTTCATTTGCACAATTACCCTTGCGAAGGCTTCACACACTGTACGCCTTCCCTTTCCATTCCATCTAATCTTCTTCTTCTCCCTTAGCATGAGACGATGCGTAGACCCCAGCGCAGAGCAAGAAAGACGTCAATGAGGTTGGAAGAAAATAGAAGAGAGAGAGACGTTCGTCCACTTTTCATTGGCAGTGTACATGCGGGAACCAAAGAGACACACATAATGTATTCACAACTTGACAACGGAGACACAAAAGCTCCCATCACCGAGACAGCATAGGAAGAGAAAAAACATTAATAATAAATCGAATCACAGAGTGTAGTGTACATCCTTTACATCCAAGCTGCATCAAAGAACAAGAGTGATCGCAATAACGACCGGCTTCAACAGGGCTAGCGCCGCACTACACAACGGTAAGGAAAAGAGCTTCCTGCCTTCCCCTCTCGACCTCTCCAACACAGAGTATAACTCAAGAGGGCATCTTTTCTTAATTTGCCTCTTTCAACGAGCGCCTCGCCGTCTCACGAAGAAGACAGGATCAGAAAGGGAAAAACACACTGGCAAAACGCGCTGCAGCCCAGTAAACACACAAAAAAAAAAAATATTAAATCACGCGTTTGCCCTACTCAGCTCTATGTGGCGAAGGAAACACACAAGCAGAGTTACGCAGAGGCACCCTTCGTCGTAGACAGGCGATCCGCCATAGCCTGCTCATCACCAGGTGAGATCTTCGTGGTTTTGGGGTCATAAGGGTAGACGTACTTCTTAAACAGCTCCTCGTCACGCTTCTCCCAGTCCACATGCGACAACCGCTCCACGCATGCCTGCAGATCAGCTTTGCCGATCTTCTTCGGTTCCGCCGTCGGCATGTACCGAGTGGAAAGCTCCGCGCGGCGCGTCCGGCTCTTCGCGCGCTCCTCGTCGTACATGCGATACACGTGATGATCGATTTCACTCTGGCTCACCTTCTTGTCGTTCCTGTGCGCCTCCGCCTCCACCTTCTTATCGCGCTCCTCCTTCGCGTTGGCGAAGCGCTGCAGCTGCTGGTCGTATATCCGATTCACCAGGTGCTCCTCCTCCTCCTTCGAGACATGCCGGCTTAGCTGGGCCCGTGTGCGCTCGAGAGTGGCCTGCCGCTCCTTCTCCCGCTGCGCTGTGAGCTCTAGCTGGCGGTAGTAGAGACGCTGCACGAGTTTGTCCACCTCCTCCGGAGTCAGCCGCGGGGCGGCAAGCATGTTATCGTAGTCGTCGGCGGACATTGTGCTGCGGATAAATACCTTTTTCTTCCTCTGAGCTCACCGCAATGCAAACAACGAAAGAAAGAAAAAAGAAAAGAGATACGTCAGAAAGCTGCTCGTCGAATTCCCACAACTAAACGAAGGAGAGCGAATCGGCAAGGAAAAAAAGGAGAGAGAGAGAGAGAACGTGAGGAATGGAGAGACGCAAATGTAGCGAAAGCGGAGAAGGAGAAGAAGAGGACTGCGGAGCAGAAGACAATCAAAGTTGTACCTCGAGAACGCGTACATGTAGCGGAAAGACGAGTCGAAACCAACGCGGCATTGCCAGTTTTCACGTGCGGCTTTCCTTTACCCCACCACGAGTGTAGGAAAAGCAGTGACAAGTCGTGCAACCTTTCATCTCTGCTTTCTTTTTGCTTCCCCACTGCAAAGCAGCGGATCAGACTTACGAAAGAAGCAATGGGACGTGTATTTGCAGGTTAGCTGTCTGTGAGAAAAAAAAAACTTTTGCCATGACGGAGCTAAGTAGATGATCACCATTGATGAGATGTAGAGGTGCGTCATGTGGCAGAAAGTGAAGGCTATCGTGGTGTTCATCCTGCTTTTTGTTCTTTTCTCGCCGCGAAACCTCTCAACTACTGCCCTCTCTTTACCTTCAACTCCTCCGTGAAGACGGCGTGCGCCTCCGTGTACGCGTTCGTCGGATCGTGGAAATACGAATCCGCCGATTGCGCCACGTTGATGGTGCGGGGAGTGCCACGACGTAAAAAGACACCCATTTTCGATGTCTCCAGCGAAGCAGCAGACGGATTAGCGTCAGAGAAGCCACAGCATTCTCCTCCTCCTCCCACGGCGTGCGGCCGCAACTTCCCCGCTGCGTGCGATGCGATGGTCTGCTGAGTGGCGAGCTTCTCCTGCTCACACACGCCGTCGTAGAAGCGGTGTGACATCTCCCGCACGTGCGGTGCGGCTGCTGCTTCTGGCAAAACGTCGAGCTCTGCGTGTCCCATGAGCATCGACTGATGCTTCGCGTGTTGTATCTTCATGAACGTCTCCTCGAGCGACGTGCTCTGGATCAGTATTGTCAACTCATAAGCAACGCCGTTGCGGTACTCGGCCTCGCGAAGCAGCCGCGTGCGTTCGCGGTACTCCTGCAGCGGACTGGAAAAGGCGTCAGCTGCGCCTGCACGGCCCTTGACAGCGGTGCGCGACGCGCGACGCATGCCCTGTACCTCCTCACGATCCATCGGCAGCGGCACACAGGCGCTGGAGGCGTAGAGAACTTCTGGGCAGTAGAGAGAGAAAAAGTTGCTGAACTCCCTTTGCAGCTCCTTCTCTACCTTCAGGTAGGCGAGGTGGAGAAGCTGTTCCTTGTGCAGAACGCGGTCCGTCGCCGCACGCGCGAGCACGAACTCGATCGGTGAGCCCGGGTTCACCACGATGTCAACCTTCTCCGGTACGATGGCGGCGTTGTGCAGCAGGGTGGAGATGTCCGCGAAGTAGCCGAGCAGAAACGGGTGTAGGAAGGGGCCGAAGGTGGGGAGGGGAGTGGCTTGCTTCAGCTCAAACGGAGCCGTCTGTGCCACTGCTTGCCAGTAGGCGGACTTAGCAGCGCTCTCCTCCGTCGTCTTCTGCTGCTTTCCGTCAACATCCTCGCTCTGCTCCGCAGACGCTGCATTGGACACCGATGGACTGCGGCGCTCCTGGCTGCCGCCTCGCTTTGCTAAGCGCAGTCGACGCTTTCGGTGTTTCTTTCTGCGGGCCGTACCGTCGCAGCCCCTAGCAAGTCTACGCGTGGTAACTCCTCTAGACGATGCCGATGACGCTTCTCTTCGCCTCTCTCTCTTCTTCTCGCAGCGCTCTCTAGCGGAAGTGGTTTCGGTCGCCTCGTCCGCGACGCCCTCCAACATCATCACGTCAAATAGCGCCGACGCATCGATCAGGGGCTCTGCCGTGGGCAGCGCAGATGGCCCACCGCGGCCCGGTGTTTGCTCGCCATTCTGCCCAGGGTTTGCTTCTGTTGCCGCTGATGCTTCTAAGCCCTCCCCACTATGTGTAGTTGACATCCCAGCGACAGAACTTGTGGGCTTATCAGTGCTTTCGTCTCTGTGAAAGTCGGAATTGTGTGCTGCGTTGACTTTAGCGCTCTCGTCAACGTTCACCTCCGTCGTGTGCACCGGCTGCGCGTGGCGGTGATGCTGCCACCACTCGCTCTGCACCACCGCGTCAGGCAGTAGTCCGGCAATGGAGACGTCCTCCGTCGTGCTGGCCGCGCCGGCAGCCCAGAGAACGCCGCTAGGGTCCCGCACCGCAAACCCAAACCGCTGACAAAAGAGCCGTAAATAGTGAATGGAAGTGAATACGGGGAGGGCGATGTAGGTGTTCAGCGCGAATACCTGCGGCTTTACATCGTATGGGTCCCATGTCCGATCAACGGGGGACGCGAGGGAGAGCAAGGTGCTGTTGATCAGCCGCCGCATCAGCTCCAGCTCCGTGCGAGCGTCACGGTTCTCGCTGATCGAGAGGGCCATAGCTGCCTCCAGCGCATCGTTGCGAGGGAGAAGACGAATGGCTCGTGTGGTGGCCTCGCTGACATTGCCACTACCACAACTACTACCGCTATGCCCGCCTGCAAAGTGCGATGTGTTGAGACTATTCTTCGAGTCTCGTAGCAGACTGTGTAGCCGACGGCGCTCCTGAAGCTCGTCTTCCGCCGCACGGTTCGTGTGACGAAGACGCTGCAGTCGCCGACGTAGCGATGGAAGTCGAGATGCGCGCACCGCAGCGGAGCGAAGACACGACTGTGAAGACGTAAACATGTGTCAGATGCAAATGGACAGCAATTGGAAAAAGGAGAGGTGAGAGGTGTTGACGCTGCTCCTGGAGTTCTCTTTTTTAGCTTCTAAAGAACGTCTTGTCTCCCACTTATTAGAGAGAAAGAAAGCCTTCTATATAAAAGCAAGAAAAAAAAGTTGCCGCAATGAGAATTGGGTCTTGACAAAGCGTATACAGTGGTCCGTTGCTTGAGAGCAGCACGTTTTCCTTCACGCAGACACCTCAGTGCCTTTGTGTGGAGTCGTGTGTGTTAAACAGAGGCTTGAAACCATGCACGGTACAGAGAGTTGTAACAGGTCAGCGTGCTTGTTGTCGAGAAAGAGTAAGAAAAGACAAAAAGAATGATACTGAACGTAGAGGGTGTGGTAAGAGGTCGATGAGCAGGAAATTTTTCTCCGCTGCTTTCCGCCACACCAATGGCGCAAGAAGTGAAGCAAAGCGCACTGCCGTTTTTGTTGTTGCTCTAAACGCGTTGCATCTGATCGTCTCCTGGCAGCGCCGCAGAGGAATGCGCAACCGTGCTACGATCCGCCGTAGGAGAAAGGTGAAGGAAAGGCCGCAGCAGCTCAGCCGTTGGAGAGCGAGACACCTCCCTCACGAGCATGCGCTCCTCTAACAAAGGAAAATCGCACCACCATCGCCGCCCAGGGGCGGGAGAAAAAAACAGTATTTGTAATAATAACAAAAAAAAAAGCTTTGCCCTTGCAAGGCGCGTCAAACTAACATTTATAACGACAGGGAACACAAATAAAAGAAGAGATAGAAGAGATAGAAACGTTCGCAGAACAAACAAAGCAAAGTGGATTGCAGCTATGATTGTTTCCGATGTGAGACAAGAAGCGAAGGACCTGTCGCCCGGTTTGCACCGGCACGGGAAGCGGAGAGAAATGTCGATACTCACAGAAAACCCCGAAAGAGAGAAAACTTCAGAGGAGAGCGCCAGCGGGAAAAAAAAAACCAAAAGAGGTGTTTTGTTGCACATGTGGTGGTGTAAGCGTCTTGGACCCCATTAAAAAAAGGGGGGATAAGTGTGTGTCGCATCGCAGTGGCAACAACGTGCGGATGAACAAAGCAAAGCGCAGGCGAGACCGCTTTGTACGCATCCGCTCATGCTAAAAATACAACCTCGTGTAGTGTTTGGCAGCTGTGTCTCGATTTTTAACACGTGATCCGTTACTCACGCCCCTGGTGGGGAAGGCAGAGCGTGGGCAGAGGTCGAATTCAGATGGTTGTTTACCGTCAGCACAATCTTGCCCCACGCCTTGCTGTCCTCCAGCCGTGCGTGCGCCTGTCCCACCTCCTCCAGTGGGTAGGTCTTGTTCGCCACCGGCACAATAACGCGTTGGTTCATCAGCGGTATCACCTCCTGCTCGAACGTCTTCACCAAGTTCTCCTTGTAGTCATCGGACTGACAGCGAAGCTTCGAGAATATGATGTGTGCACGCTGACGCAGCAGAGGCAAGCAGTTCAGGTGTACCCTAGCGCCGCCCATAAAGGCAAGCACAACGATGCGACCGTCCTCGGCCAGCACGGCGGCGTCCTCGGAGATGTAGGAGCCGCCAAAGATCGAGTCCAGCACGACGTTGATGCAGCTCTCGCCTAGCAAGTTTTTAATTTTAGGCGCGAAACACATCCCAGTCTCATCCGGCGTGCGAGACAGGTTGATGCTCGCAAAGTTCTTGCACAGCTCCACCTTTGCCTCGGACGAGGTGGTCACCGCAGTGGCCTCGAAGTACTTCTCCACCAGCTGCGATGCGGCCGTGCCCACCCCGCTTGCACCGGCGTGGATCAACACGTGTTGGCCCTTGCTAACATTCCCGTGGAACTTCAGCGCCTGCCACGCCGTGAGAAACGCCTCCGGGATGGCAGCGGCCTCAATGAAGGAGTACCCTTGTGGGATGTGCATCACACTGCCTTCGTGGGCAACGGCGTACTCGGCGTAGCCACCGCCGGGCAACAAGCCCATCACCTTATCCCCCTCCTTAAAATTTTTCACATCCGGTCCGACCTGCTCGATCACACCGGAGACCTCGAGGCCCAGCACCTCGCAGCTGCCCTTCGGAGGGGGGTAGTGGCCGCGACGCTGCGCCCCATCGGCACGGTTAATGCCCGCGGCACTCACCTTGATGAGGACATCGCGCGGGTTCGCAATCACGGCCCGAGGAATGCGAGATATCTGCAGCATGTCCGTCGCACCAAACCCTTTAAGGGTCACCGCACGCATCATCTGCATGGTGACAGGTAAAGAAATGAAAATATAAAAGATGCTAACTACAACTAAGGGGGGGAGAACGGAAGAAAGAGGGAGAAAGGTGTCGATGCCAAACCCTCTCAGAGACCTTTCTCAACGCAAAGCTGCGGAACGTTAAAAGGCGAGTGGGGGGAATGTATATGCGTATGAGAGTAGGTATATAGCTACCACGAGAAAGGATGTACAGCGACGCGAATACCAACAAAAAAAAAAAACAGAGGAAAATGAAAGCAAATGTGTGGTGTTGTTTGAAATAAAAGAAACGTTTTGTGAGGATCAAGGAGGCAATTCGCCACCGTAATAAAACGAAATACCAGTCTCACACCTATGTGTATGGATGCGCTTCTGCGGCTTCGGGGAGAGGGAGAAGAGCAGTCAAATGCCGGGGGTTAGAACTGACTACTAAAGGTGGATAACACTACAAGCAAAAGCAAAGGGAGAGGAGTAGACAGCAGAAAAAGAAAGCTGTGTGAGAAAGCGAACCTTTTCAAAATAAAATGCCGGAGTCATCTTAGCAGCAATGGGAGCTTCGATTGAGTGTCATGATAGTTCCGCCATCGCTCCGTCAAGACGTACATGTCCTGCCATCGTCATCATCATTTCAGATGCACAGCACTAAAACATCACACAATCTTTCTCCATTACTGCAAAGCATGTTTTGTTTTTGTTTTCCTCTTCGCTGTGTGTTCACGATGTCCTCTCCTGCTCGACACACATCAGCAAAACGAAACCATTACTGTACAATGCAAACTCCCCTCTCTTTCTTCGTCCGTGCATGCGACGACGCGGCTTTCACCCCGGCTGCATCGTTGGTGATTTCCTCGTTTTCTTCCACAGCCTTTGCAGAGACGACGCTCACCGCGACTTTCGCACCTGCCGAGGCAGAGCATGAACGCACCACAGACCCGTTTCCTTTGCCCTTAAACGTTACCTTCCCTAGTCTCTTCTTGTCTCGCTCAGCACTGGGATGTGTGGGAGAAGGACTTGCGTCGCGCTCTGCCGACGGCAGCGGCGGCGGTGGCGGCGGTGGCGGATGCAGCGGGGGGACATAGAGAAGAACATCGCTCTCCTCCGGGGGCTCAGGCGGCCATGTCATCGTGGCTGGAATGATGCGAACAAGGCTCCAGTCGTAATGGGAGTTGCCGCACGGTCGCTTGCACTCAATGACGCTGATGCCGCGCCTGGGATCGTTGTAGGACTTGCGTGCGACACCGCAACGCTGGCAGCGCACGATGTACGCCACGTCAAGCATCATCAACGCTTCCTCAATGGCACTTCCGAGCAATTAAAAAGGAAAATCCAAAATAGACCGTTTCATATAACCAGCATGTGGAGGGCAGAAAGGGAAAGCCAAAAGCAGCAACAACAGCGAATGGGCTGTGTCCCTTTGCGAATGAGACACCCACGTCAGGTCGCCAGTTTAGCAGCTCATAACTCTCCTCATGTATTTCATAGACTCGGATGTCCACCTTTTTGAGAAGGTGTGGCTATACACAACTCTATAGCTAAACAAGAAAACAGCAATGGAAGCGCCAATGTTGACTGGAAAACAGAACAGAAGAAGACAAGAGAGATAGGTCGAAGATTCAATGATCGGCACGCAAAGCCTCGAAACATCTTGTTGCTGTCAGAAGCACTGAAAAGGGCCGAAACAAGAAACCCGCAACTGAGCGCAGATGCGACGCGTGTTTTACAGAAGAAAGCACTTCAATTTTTCTGCCTTAACGAAAAGCGGAAGATGAAGAAGGAAAACCTGTTTGGCTTTTTATTGAGTTTCCGTTTGAAAACCACTTTCGTCTGTTGTCGCGGACGATCAAAAACAGAAGAAGAAAAAACAGAGTTGACGGTCCTTTCGAACGTTCCGGGAGAGTGCAATGGAATGAAAATAGAAAAAGAAAAAAAATACCAATAATAAGAAGTGTACGCCCGTCAATCGCATTTACGGAAAGACATCCATTTTGAAGCGGCGAGTCTGCCCCCGACGAGCGCCTCCCTTACCCTCCGGTATGCTCCAAGCGCGGCGGGAGGTAGCTATGACGGGGCACGTAGGAAAAGGAAAGAAGAAAAAAAAAGGGTGCAGCGCCTCGGCGTTGTGCACTCGCGATGTCTCCCATAGCAAACGATAGAGATATAGTATATATATATATTTGTTGTGTATAAAAATAAATAAAAGTATCGCTCCACCACGCCCAAAATCACTCTAGGGTGAGAATTATTTTGCCGCCGTCCTTGTTGTCGTCGAGGTGGGCGTGTGCCTGCGCCACCTGCTCCAACGGATAGGAGGCGTTGGCCACCGCGACGATCTTACGCGCGCTCATCAACGGCACCACCTCCTGATCAAATGAGGTCGTGAGCTTCTCCTTGTACTCGGCTGATTGGTTCCGCAGTTTGGAGAAGATCAGGTGAGCACGCTGCTTGAACAGCGGGGAGAAATCCAGCTCCACCTTCGACCCACCGAGAAAGGCAAGCACAACAATGCAGCCGTCCTCGGCCAGCACGGCGGCGTTCTCGGAGATGTAGGAGCCGCCAAAGACACAGTCCACCACGACGTTGATGGCGGCCTCGCCCAACGCCTCCTTCACCTTGGGCGCGAAGCATAACCCGCTCTCATCCGGCGTGCGAGACAGGTTGACGCTCGCAAACTTCTTGCACACCGCCACCTTGCTTTCCGACGAGGTGGTCACCGCAGTGCCCTCGAAATACTTCTCCACCAGCTGCGATGCGGCCGTGCCCACCCCGCTTGCACCGGCGTGGATCAGCGCTGTTTGACCCTTCTGCAGATTCCCGTGGAACTTCAGCGCCTGCCACGCCGTGAGAAACGCCTCCGGGATGGCAGCGGCCTCAATGAAGGAGTACCCTTGTGGGATGTGCATCACACTGCCTTCGTGGGCAACGGCGTACTCGGCGTAGCCACCGCCGCTGAGCAGCGCCATCACCTTATCGCCGTCTTTGAAGCGCTTCACATCCGGTCCGACCTGCTCAATCACACCGGAGACCTCGAGGCCCAGCAACTCACTGCTGCCCTTCGGAGGGGGGTAGTGGCCATAACGCTGCGCCACATCAGCGCGGTTGATGCCTGCCGCCTTGACCCGAATAAGGACTTCTCTTGGATTTGTGATGACGGGGCGTGGTAGCTGGGATATCTGCAGCACCTCCGTCCCGCCGAACCCGTTAAGTGTAACTGCACGCATCATCTTGTCGTCGTCGTTGTTGTTGCGTGTTGTGGGGCAGCGGTGTGTCGTGTGTTGAAAGGAAGAAGAAGGAAAAAAAAACGGAGGTCTCAACGGTTTAATCTGAAGTACGGCGGCAACAGAACAGAAAGCTTCGTGGTACGGCAAGAAGAGCGTAATGTGGGGTCTTGCCCTCGCTGTACGTGTCACCAATGTGTCGATAAGCTTGAACTGCATGCACGATGGGTGGAAACAGTGGAGGGGACAGGTAAAACAGGGAGGAGAGAAGCAGTGAAGGTGACAGCACGGCAGCAAGAGCTCCTTTCTTTGCTATCGGCATTCGTTCATATCAAGAACTTGTGGAAGGCACGCCGGAGATGATCAAGTGCCTTCACACAACTTCGCAAGGGACGGTGGCTGACAGCAGCCACGAGAGACAGTGCGCAGAGGTCTTCCGAGTCAACACACTTTTTTAAAGCTCCCGCGTCCCTTCAAGAGATGCGTCGTAGACTACCAGCGGATGCTCTTCTTCTTCATTCGATCGAAAGGAAAGGAGAGAAGTTGCGAGCGTCGCAAACGATCAGCGTAGAGAGGGAACAGCGCGGTTCTGCTGCTTTACCCATTCCCCCATCGTTTTTTCTGTTTTTTTGCTTTTTCCGGTTATGTTGCTATTAACGCTTTTGTTTATCTACAGGTAGCTTGCGCTGCAGTACAACGTGAATCTTCTCCAATAAAATGGGATTAAATACATGTATACAGGATTACGTCAATGCGCAGTGGACGACCGAGCAGGGAGAAGCAACAACAGTAGCGAGTTAAAAGACGGAAGCGAGAAACGCCGTGACGTCGCAGACTTCACGCGACCGCCCCCTCACGTACTCGCGCCTATACATTCTTGAAAGACGAAAGAAACCTAAATGGTGACGGGAAAACAAAGAAGCTAGTATCTAACGAGAAAGAATTAAAAAGAAGCGCTGAAGATCGCATCGTGTTTCCTTGATCATACATCTGGTGTCCCCTACGTGCGGTTCTCGCCCAAATAAGAAACCGTCGCATTTGTCAACCGAGCCCCGTCATGCAGATACACAGAGGAAGATGAGCCAACAAACATGGGGCGGCCCAAGGTGCCGGAGGAAGAGGCAAGACGATTGAAGCCGTCTCCACGCTGAGCTTGTGCGTACTCCATCTGGGAAGAATTCGCGTGGTTCTGCACAAAACGCCCACCTGCGGACATGGGCCGCTGCGGTATCAACGACGGCGAGCTTTGTGGAGCGGCGGAGTGCTGGCGATTCATGCTGGTCAGCGCCTGCTGCAGCGCGTCTTCCAACTTCTGCAGCTCCTTCCGGTCCGCCTTGTTCACCTCTAAAATGGCCGCGTTCTCCTCCAGCTGCGAGACGCGGCGACGCAGACCGTCGTCTGGCTCGACCGCGACGGAGATGCGCCGGCGACCGGACGCCACCGCCGGCTGCACGACCTCCTCCCGTCGCAGCACCTCCACGGTGGGCTGCGCGAGCTCCTTCGAAGCGCTCTGCGGGCGCTGCCGCAACGACGAGGTGCGCTGCGGGGTAGGCGAGGCGGTTTTGGCGGCGGTGCTGCTACTGTTCAGCGGGTCCTTCGACAGGTTCGGCAGGAGACCGCTGCCGGGGCGACCGGAAGGCGGGCGGCCGTGTGGGCTGTGCGACGACGACGGACGAGCGCCGCCGTCCGCGCTGACCACCTCGCCCCCCGCGCCGTTGGCCGCCGCCTCGGCGCTAGCGGGGGTGTTGCCCGGCAGCTGGAGGGGGGTGGCGCCACGCGGCAGCCCCTCCACCGTGCCCTCCAGCACCGAAATGCGGTGTGCGAGGTCGACCAGCGCTGGATTCACCGCATCGCCGTCCGCCGTTGCGTTGGTCTTCTCAGAGGACAGGCCCAACAGCAGGTTAAGGCGATCCTCCAGCGAGCCGAGTTGGTCGTAGAGCCGGTTCACGTCCTTCTCCGTGTTGCCCACACGCTCGTTAGCGTTGCCGCGGCTCTGCAGCTCATTCAGCGTAGACTCCAACGGCAGGAGACGCTGCTTCTCGAACATCTGCATCTGCAGCTCCAACGCGCGCACTGACTTGGTCAACTCTTCCACCTCGGCGGAGTTGTCTTTGCTCTCCTGCGGCGGCGGCGGCCCGACGAGGGAGGCGGTGCGACTGGCGCGCGCCACCTCACTCGTCTTCGCCGCGAGCGCATCCGCGGCCTGGCGCTGCTGGAGTGCACGCAGCACATCCATCTCCTCGTGCACCTTGACAAAGGCCGCCATGGAAAGCAAATAGGTGGTGCGATCCTTGAGGCTGTGCTCGACTTCCTGGTTCGCGTTGCGCCGACCCATCTCCAACAGCTGCTCCGGCACGACCCCCCACAGATCCGTGAAGGCCTGTGACACCTGCACCGACTTCTCCGTGGCGACAAGGCGGCGGTTGACGTCGGCGGCGTGCTCAGCCACGCTAGCTTGCATCTTCGCCTGCCGCTCCGCCGCCTGTTTCTCCACCGACTCCGCCAACGCCGTTTGGGCGGCCGCGCCCGCGGCGATTTGGGTCGCGTTGGCGTCCACCTTGTCACCCAGTTGCCTCACGGTGTTCTTCACCTCTTCCAAGGCGGCCGCCAGATCGGAACTTGGCCCCTGGTTTTGCTTCAGCGTCTCTATTTCAGAACGCAGCTTGTTGTTTTCCTGCACGAGCTTTGCGAGGCGGGCGCGAATCTCGTCGATGTCGTCCTCATGCCCGTTGCCCTGATCCACAATGACGCGAATCAGGTCGGTGAGACGGCTGTAGCTTAGCGTGAGTTGTGCCTCGATGATATCCGGCACACTGGCAACGTCGACTTCAATGCTAGGCATTCTTCTCTTTATTTTTCTTTTTCCTGAAGATGCGAAAGGAGAAAAACGATGTATATATAGATAGAGAGAGAGAGAATCTTAAATATAATTTTTTAAACGCTCGGTAATGGGGATGTTGCTATGATGTGTGGCAAGCAAAAAGATGTTGCCGTTCGTCCTCGGTGCTAAGAATATGAAAAGAAAAACACCTATGAAGACAGCGCTCTTCCTCTACTCGAATACAAAAGAACAATTGTTGTGTTGAAAAAAGAGAGTTTCGAAATGGAGGTACGTTGGAGTCAACCAGCCGATAACACACAACGAAAACCATTTGAAAGTCTTCCCCAGATGCATTTTCTTATTATTACTGCGATAGCGCACTCAGAGAAGCGCTGCCAACCAGGAATAAAAAAAAGCTGTTGCACGGCATTCCGATGACGCAGTGATGAATTATTCTTCATCAAAGATGCCCCGAAGTGTGAATGGCTGCTTTGGATAGCCTACAGTTCCATCGTTGTTTTCACAACTGTTGTTGTTGCCGTTTAAGGTAAGGTGAGACAAGAACGAAGAAAGAAAAACGATACATTTCTGACCGTTGATGTACATGTACAGATGAATAAAAACAATACAAAAAGAAACGCGAAAACATCGTCTTTACATTCGATGATGCGAAAGGACAGAATACAGATGCCAAGAAAAAAAAAGGGGGAGGCGCGCAAACAAAACTGATACAACCGGATCTAATAAACATGGCAAATGAGCGAAGGAGAGCTACAGGGTCTCACATATAGATGAGCTGTGAGCGGATACACGGACCTCCTGCGGCGTAAGCACGCTCCGCTCCATCGACGATGACGAGTAGCGGTGACACACACACAAACAAACAAATCAAAAATAAGGGCCAGGCGCCATCCGTTATAAGACACTCACGCGTGCCGTGCCACGAGCCTCCACTTTTGAGTTTTGTGGAGGAGACGTGGAAAGCGCCTGGCCGTCCACACGCGCGAAGCCGCCGTTGACGTTGCTGACGCGTCGAGCCGCCTGCACTTGCGTGGCCGCCGTTGGCGCCTCCCCCTGCGCGGCGGTGTCGTCCGCTGTCGCCTGTGTGACGTCTACAAGAGGAACATCGACCACCTCTCGTTGAACAAGGTGCGAGCCGAACGGTGGCACGTCTGGAGAGCGCAGGCGGCTGATGGTGGTGCGCCGCCCACCGGCCCCCACCACACTCGTCCGCGGAAAGTCAGCAAAGAGGTTCGCGTCACCGTCGATGTCGTAGCCGAGTTCCAACATGGACTGGAGGACAGCACGACGGCGGCCTTCTGCCTCGTTTGGCGACGCCGATGAGCGTTCCGTGGGCACCTTTGCCAGTGCGTCGTCATCCTCTGCCCGCAGCGTCAGCTGACTCGGAGTTGTGGGAGCCGCAGTAGCAGCAGTCGAGGACTGCGGACTCGTCTCTGAGGGCTGCACTGGTGCCACTGCCGCCTTCGCCTTGTCCCCCTTCTGCGGACTGAGCGTCAGCGGCGAGGCGTTGCCGACCCCTCGCAGCTGCGCAATGGCAAAGTTCACCTCCGCCATGCGCTGCTCGACATCCCTCTCGAGATCGGCGACCTTGCTGCCATAAGTGTCCCGCAGTGGCGCAGATGGCGCCATGACAAGCGGGAGTGATGTTTGGTTATCGCCGCCGTCAACTGCGGAGCGCGCCTCCGCGCTGCTACTGTTGGCTGCGGCCGACGCCAGCTGCCGTTTCAGCTGCGCCAGCTCCTTCTCGACCATCTGCAGCCGCATGAGCGACAGCGCCGCGTCTTCGCGTGCTTTGCGGTCCACCGCTGACGAGCGCCCCATCGACGCAGCTCCCACACCGCCCCCAGCGGCGTTGGGGACACCCTGCTTCATGGCTGCACGGCCGATGATGCGCAGCCGCTCTTCCATTGCTTGCCAACGATCGAGCAGCTCCTCCTCGAGCTCGCCTACCCGGTCAGCGAGGGCGTACGTGTCGTCGCGTGCGGTTTGGTCCACAAAGTTGGTGGGAGCGGTAGCGGGCAGCACCGGAATGAGCGGGCCCGTGTCGTTGGCATCTTGGTGGCCCTTTCGACTCGGCGTGTTGATCGCCTTCTTCGACGACGGTGACGTCGTGCGTGAGTTGATCAGCGGCGCCCAGCTGTCTCCGCCGTCAGCGTTCTCCTCCGCCGCGGCACTCTGCTCCTTACCCTTTCTCTCGCTGTCCTTTCCGGCCGCCCCGCGAGAGCCGGTGCGGGACTGCGACTTCTCTGCGTCCCCGCCTCCACCGCTGTTCTTCGCGAGGGTCGCCGTGCGAGCGGCGATGTTAGCCACGGCACTGTTGAGATCCTTAAAACGGCGCTCCATGGTGGTCTCCAGCTCCTCCAACAGGTCCAGCGATGCTGCGGCGTCTTCACGCGCTATGGCATCCACGACTTCATCGCCACGACTATTCGATTTTGCTGTCGTCGTGGTGGCACGTGGCAGCGGCGGGGGCACGGGAGAGGTGCGAGCGTTTTTCTTCCCTGTACTCTCCCCTTCTCGCGCATGCTCGGCTGCTTGACGCGGCGCGTTGCGCTCGTGGTGCGCCGTAGAGGAGGAGGCGGAATGGGCAATCATCATCGACGTGCGCGTCTCCAGCTCATCGAAGCGCTGCATGACGTAGTCGCCGAGCTCATCGATGTCCGCACGTGCCACCGCGTCCACGGCGACGCCGCTCCCGCTGCCAGCGGCGGCGGCCTTATCGGCACGGCGTGACTTTGGTGCGGGTCGAGACGGTGGTGCTCGCGGGGCGGCGTTGTGTAGCTCCGCCAGCAACATCTCCGCCTTCTCCAGCGCCGCCGTTGCCTTCTCCAGCGTCGCCTCCGCCAAGTTGCCGGAGTCATTTGTTTTCTTGCTGCGCCGCTCAGGCGTCTCCGACTTGGGCTTCTCCTCCTTCGAAGGTGCTGCGGCCGTCGTCGCGCTGGAAGGAGGCGTTGCGGCGTCGCGCTTGGCGGAGCTGCTGCGACGCCGCATGGCCGTATCGCTCGCCGCCGCCGTGTTCGCGCTCGCCGCCGACGGCTGACTGGCGCTCAGCATAAGTGCCCGTGTCTCTCGACGGGTGAGACGGAAGGCTGGCAGGTCGAGCAGGTAGGAGCTGTACGCGTCTGGAGTGATGGCCGGGTCGCCGTACTCCTCCACCAGCTCTGCTACATCGTTCGCTTGCACACCCCAGAGTAGGAGAAATTGCTCTACGCGCGCCAGTCGCTTATTGAGATCGGACGAAGCACCCGCGCCGCCAACGAGGGCTGCATCGGCTCCTGCGGCGACGCTGCCGCGTTTGTTTGACTTGAGGCTGCGCGACCGCAGCATGTGCACCTGCTTTTGCAAGTCCTGTATAATTACATCCTGTTCGCTATGTCGGTCGAGCAGATACTGAATGATGGACTTGAGGTTCGTGGACTGTACGGTGAAGTGGCCCTCGAAGAGCTTTCCGTCGTCAACGAAGGTGATGCGTCGGCTACCCGGATTTCGAGGCGCGCGGCGGTGCTCGTCTGTCGTTGGGATTCTGCTTTTCGGCTCCGGCACGAGGGCGTCGTCGTGGACAAAGTTCACCGCAACTTCTGCCGACTTCTCAGCTGCGGCGCCCGACGGCTCCATGTCTGTCGTGTTTCGTGTTTGTGGGGAATGAGCTCGAGGAAAGGGGGCGTCACCTCAGTGTTTAAAAAAAAAAAAGGTCCAGGCAATTCTAAAATAAAAAAAGGAAACACACCTATGCCCCTTTCATTCTGGCGAGAAATTTGATTTACAAAAGAGTTGGAGTATTAACAACAGAGATTGGAAAAGCAAGCAGACAAAGCAAGAGATCATGAGCCACGTCTACATGTATGGGGGGGTGTCCCTTGGCATTTTCAATAAAGGTCAATGAAAGTACGCTCCGTTGTGTTCACGCGTGTTGCACTCCAAGATGCTTTCAACGTTTTTATCTGATGCCGTGACTCCATCATGTGGAAAAGAATTTACTTTTGTTGGGGTTTTCATTTCGAAAGGTCTTCATTTGAGTATTCTTGATGATCCGCTGCGCTTTCCTTTCTTCCTTGGAGTTAATGTGATCAGCAGAAACCGTGTCACATCGATCTTATACAAATCTGTGTGACCCATCTTCCACACTCAATACGTCTGGCGTGAGCAGGGCGGACACACGGAACTGTCGAGCAAAGAACGCTCGTAATCCACGCCACGAGGTGGTGTGAGTGACGCCGCGCGGAAGCGCAGACGCTGCTCGCCTTGTAGGGGCATCCGCGAAGGACTCTCCTGCCGCCTCACGTAGAACGCCGCGCGTTTTGGTGGTCGGCTGCGGCGTCTCAGCAACGCGAGGCACGGCCACGTTTGCAACAGTTGAAAAGTCCATTTCACCTTCTCGGGATGGCGTCGGTGCAGCTGTGACGGCCGTCCTTGCGGCGGCGCATTTCGGCAAAGGCGACGGCGTCCCGGGGAGGCGGGGTGGCGGACTCGCACTGGAGAACGCACCCAGCCGGGTCTCCTCTGCAGGTGCGGTTTCACTCAACGAAGCAAATATCGGCGGCGGGGTGCGCAGCTTGTTCTCAGAAGGGGGGAATGGTGGCTGCTCCGCCGCCGCCTCCACGCCGCCAGCATGCCGCTCCGGAGAACGGTGAGCGTCCCAGGCGTCCAACGCCGAGGTGCCCAAAACGCGCCCAATGTCGTTCGCCTGTTCAGTGTGGCCTTGGTACTTCTGGTTTCCTTCGGGAGGTGCGAACCAGCGCACCGGCGAGCGGTTCCACCTGACGTTGTCGCCCGTCTGCGCGTTGCCCGCGTGTGCTAGCGAGTTCCGCCAGCACGCTGTCGAATAGGATTGCACGCCATGGGCCTCTCCGCGATCGCGGCCCGAGCGTGAGGCGAACATCGTCGCGTTCCTTCGTGGGGAGGTGCCGTCCTCTTCATCTGTCACGTCGAGCACCTCACTTCGTCGTGGCGGTGCGGCACGCTCCAGCTGCATCGCTTGTTCCACCTCCGCGGCATTCACGCCAGGAGAGGAGGAGGAGATATTGTGGTAGGCCGGTAAAGCGGTGAGGGGCGGCGGCGGTGCGTACGCAGGTGTCTCCCGCCTATCGCGCTTCACAACTGGTGTCACCGGAGAACCGCTGAGCGCATCCCCCGGTAATCCGCGAAGGCGTTTCTCATGTGCGGCTGCCGCATCCTTTGCCGTGTTCGCATCGTGCAGTGGTCCGCCGTTGCGCTGCAGCACGGGCGTCCACACAGCGGCCTCGTTCACGTGTTTCCAGTCTACTGGTCGTTCCGCTTCGCGGAGAGGGCTGTGGCGCAGGAGGTACTGCAGGCGCTGCAGGTCGTGTTCGAGGTTGCCGACGGTGCCGCGTGATCCTTCAGGAAGGCGGACATCGCAGGAGTTCGCCTCATCCACTTCGCAGGCGTCCTCGGGCAGCCACGGCGGCGGCGGCGAAGAAAATGCACCTGCGCTGTGCACGGATGCTGGGGCACCTCGCGGTGTTGCCTGCACGCTTGCGTATGTCTGTTGAGGAGAGATGGGAGATTGGTTGATTCCGGAAAGCTCGTGAAGCTGTTCCAGCACACGTCGCTCGCGGGCCGCCAGCTCGTCGAGGAGAGCCTGAGTAGACATGTGCGACCGCATCTTTCTGCTGTACCTTCATCAAAAGCACAGTGATGATCTACACACAAGTGGTTGATCTGTTGTGCCGCATCTAGGAAAAAAAAAGAATCAACGCTGCGCTGCAACTGCCTCAGTTCTTTTTTGCGTTATAAAGTCAAGGCAGACGAGTTGCAACGAAGTTCTGTGATCTCGAGAGTCTATGAGCTGCGTAGAAGTGGATTGAGTCTGTTCGAATCTATGCGTTGAATGAAAAAAAACTCCGCAGATGTAGCTCACAGCAGCACGGGAGAACAGCTCTCATAGCCGCTGGCAAATTCAGCTGTATATGAGTGAAGTGGCACTGGCGGTATCGCAGTGCGCGTTCGTTTTTCTTTGAAACTACAAAGCCGGAGTGAGTGGAATACCGCAACCCGTAAAGTAAGAAAGAGAGACAGAAGCAGTGGAGAGAAGAAAAACGAAGAGGAGAGAAGTATTTGTAGTCGAGAAAGCTTTGTTGTTGTTGATGATGTTTTTGGGGAGGGTAAGCGTTTGTACCTATCGCTGACAAACGGTTGAGCAAGTAGGGGCTTGTATTACTGCTCTTTGATACTTCCACTAGCTTTCTGTGGCGAGTGACATCGTTTTGCAAAGCAAGGTGATGACGGTGAAGGAAGTGAAGGCTACGTCGTGCGTCCTCACCAGAAAAACTGCTAGTGCTTTCGCGTTTCCTGATTGCTTCGCGATTCAGTCGGTCTACCTATTTTCGGCGTTACATCAAAAAGGCATCAAACAAAAACAACAAAAATAGAACTATCAAAGAAAAAAGGCGGACCACAATGCACTGCTCTCAAGTCTTGGCGTTGCCATCACGCGTTGTAGGTCAGTTTGTGGTGACAGAAGCCAGAGAAACCCCGTCATTCAGCGGGACTCAATAAGAGAAAAGAGGGGGGAAAATGAAGTGGTTCACCCTCTATGCTTTTCTAGGGAAGAGCGGCAAGGTCTAGAACGGAGAGACATCGTTGTCTCACGGAAAGGGAAAAAGGTGGGAGTAGTACTGTCGCTGTTCCGCAAACTAAAAGAACCTTTTTAGTTTTAAAAAAAGACAAGGAAATATTGTTTTCATAAGAAGTGAAAAGATGGATGAATCTAGAACTGCATCTAGTAGTTTTATTGGACGTAAAACAATGTCTAATGAAGCCAAACGGGGGGGAGAATAATAATAAGGGCAGTAGATCGATTGCCCGCTGCCAGATTCATCTAAGCAGGAAAACGCAGCGATGAAAAGCACAATAAATTTTAAAAAATTCCGTCTGAGCAGCGATGAAATTCGCCCACAGCGCAAAGAAAAGGCAAGCGCGGCGGATGCCTTCAGAATCCTATTGTCCATTCAACCGGGACCACGGCATAGATGCTCGAAAAGCTTCGAAACGTATTGGCAAGAAAAGAAAGAAGAAAGAAAGACGTCCACGTCGCGTGTACGTCCGTCGAGTCCGTAGCTACTGAAATGACTCGCCTTCCCTAACCTTTCACTTTATAGGGGTCAGTTCCAGTATGCCTGTGTGACCGCAGCACAGGCACGTCGACGCCTCCTTCTTGTTCCTCCACGAGCACTTCTCGCACTCCACTTTGCCGTCGTGCAGGAGCACGTCGAACTTGTTCTTCCACGTGATCACCTGTTTTCGCAGCGCATCGTTGACGTCGAGGAGGTCGGTCGCCAGCGACCCGGCGTTCTTCGTGCCGCAGACGCGCAACTTGTGCTCCTGCCGCAGCATCCCGTCGCGCTCCTCCAGCATCTTTGAGAGGTCAAGGTAGTACTTCTTCTGTCGCTTGATTTCAGCGTCCTTCGACTGGATGTGGTGCTCCGTATCCTTGTTTTTATTGACAATCGTCTTCAGGTCCGTCTCCATCTCCATCAGCGTGCGCTCGTTTGTCTCCGCTGCCGTGCTTGCCGCTTGTTGCTTGCGCTCCAACTCTGCCTTGCGTATCTTGAGCTTCTTCTTCGTCTCCTGTTCGGCGCGGCGCAGCGACGTCTCCTCGACGCGTGACTTCTCCTCCGCTTCCATGGCCTCGAGGTGGTACTGCCGCGCCAAATCACGCACGGCCGCCTCCTTGAACTTCGCCTTGGAAAGCCGCGCCTCTGCCTCGCGCATCATCTCCTGTCCCTGCTGCGACAGCTCGTTTCGGCGAATGTCCTCCGCTTCGATTTCGAGCAAGTAGCGATGAATCTCCTTCTCCTGCTCATCCAGCCGTTGTTTCGTGCGAAGCTCCTCCCTTTCCAGCTTGCGCGCGCGCTGCTTCAACTGTTTCGTCTCCGCCGCCACGTACTCCTCGTGGAGTTGCATCAGCTGCTGCATCGCGGCTGTGTCACCGCGCTGCGCCATCTGCAGTAGCTCCCGCTCCTTCTCCATGTACTTTTCACGCTGCAGGCTGACGCGCTTTAGCTCCTCGTGTGCGTCGGCCAGGGCGGACTGCTGCTCGACGGAGCGCTGCAGGAGGGACTCAAACATGCCTTGTGCGTTGGTGCGCACCTGCGCCTGCCGCGCTCGCAGTCGCTCCGCCATCTCCACCAGGTGCCGCTCCCGCTCCGCAAACTCGTGGGCCTTGCGCCGGTCCATCGCCTCGAGTTCCAGCAGGTACTTCTGCACCGCGCTCTCCTGCCGAGCCACCTCCGACTTGTGGGTCCGCTCGTAGCTGTCGAAGTCAGCCACGCGCTGCTCAAACCGCTGCCACTCCGCGGCAAGGCAATCCGTCTTCTTCTCGAGGGTCTCCTCGCGCCGCATCAGACTGCGCAGCCGCTGCGCCTCCTCGGCCGTCCGTTGTGGTCGCGCGACGTCACCGTCCTTCGCAATGGCAGCGGCGGTGTTGGTCTCCTCGCCGCGGCGGCGGTAGAGCGACTGCCACTTGCGCACGGTGCCCTCGCGGTCCAGCACGCGTCGGTCCGATATCTGCAGCAGATGAATCGATTGGAGCTCGTTGATGTGGTGGTGCTCCAGGAGACGGCGCTGCTCCTCCTCAAAAGCGATGATGAGGCGCAGAGCCGCCGCCGTTGCGGCGCCGCGAGCGTGCTGAGACTCCTCTGCCTTGCGCTCCGCCTCCGCCACCGACATCTGGCATGCTTGCTCGCGGTCGCGCTGCCGCCCCTCCGCCTCGTAGGCGTCTAGCCGTAGCTGCCGCAGCTGCGCTTCCGCAAACTGTGCCGCAGAGACAGCGGCGTTCATCTGCACCTTGACTTCCATCGACGCACCTCGCTGGGCTTCGAGCTCCTGCATCAGCGTGGTGATCTGCTCTGACAAGTTCGCCGCCTTCGACTCCGCCGTCTTCCGCTCCCCCACGGCTGCGTCGAACTGCATTTGCAGTGCACTCACCCGCTCGCTCTCCTGCGTGAGCTGCGCACGGCGCTGAATGTCGCGCACCTCCAGTTGGTTGTGGCGGACAAGCCCGCGGAACTCCATCTCTGCCTCGCGGATGAGAACGCCGCGGTACATGCTCTCGAAGGCAGCGAAGTAGCGCTGCTCACGCAAGTTGAGCGCTTCAGATGTGATGCCGTCCTGCCCTTCGCCGGCCTTAAACTCCGCCGACATGCGGATCGTGCTCATATCCTCCAGTCCGTGCCGGGCGCCACTGCCGCTGAGGTTCATCTCGAACACTTGCAGGCTCGTGATGAGGTCCGTCTGCATGCGGCTCCGCTCCACTCTCGTCTCGTGAGCGCGGCGCTGAAGGTCGGTCTGCTGCGTCTTCAAGCGCTCCTGCAGCTGGTACAGCTCCACGTCCTTAGCCGCCGCGCGGTCTTGCACGGCCGCTAGGGATGCCTCCTTCTCACGCAGCGCAGCCTCGCGTGTCTGATAGGTCGCCTCCAGCTCTGCGCGGCGCTCCCGCAGGTTCGCCTCCAGCTCCCGCAGTCGGTCGTCCGTTAGTTGGTTCTGCGTTTCGTTGCGGTCTTGGGCGAGCTGCAGCTCCTCCCTGGTGCGCAGCATCGCGTGACGGTCGCGCTGCATGGCCGTCTCAAAGTCGCTCTTCTGTGCTAAGAAGTCCATTTGCTGCTTCTCCAGCTGCATCTCCTGCGCACGCAGCTTACTTGCCAGGGCGTCGTTTCGAGCGCGGACGTCCATCTCCTTCTGTTCGGTTGCAGCGCTGCGCTGCTTCACCTCGTGCAGGGCAGCCTCGTTCTCCATCTGCATCTTCAGCTGCTGCTCGACGCGCTGCTGATTCCACTCCCGCTGCACCTGCACTATCTCCTCGAAATGCTTCTTCAACTCCGCCTCACGTTGCTTCAGTTGATTCTCTAGTGCCTGCAGGGCCTCGACTCGGAGGCTGTGCTGCTCATCGATGGTGCGCTCCTTCTCTTTCACCGAATCTGTCTGGCGCGCAGCGGCTTTCTTGAGCGACTCCACTTCGACCAGCTGCTGCTCCGACTCCCGCGCACGGCGGTTCAGTTCGCACTCGGCGATGCGCAGACGCTCGTTGAGCTCCATCTCGCGCTGCTGGGCACTGCGCGTCGCGTCAAGCATGCGCCTGTTCAGCTCCGTCTCTTTTGCGGCGGCCTCGGACTGCAGGCGTCGTGCCTCGTTGTCCGCCTCGCGCCACTTTTGCTGCATTTCTTCTTCGGTGCGACGAGCTGCGGCTTCGGCCTTGCACAGCGCCCCCTGCACCTCCCGCATGCGCTGCGCCACCTCCTCCTCGCGTTGCTTGGCGGCGGCCTCCAATGCGCGCACCTTCTCCACCCACTCCTCCTCCATGTCGAAGGCACGCTTCTCCAGCGCTCTCGCCTCCTCCTCGGCGAGCTTGTGCTTCTTGCGGAACTCCCGCTCCTGCAGCGAAACGAGCCGCTCCTTCTCCTTCAACTGGCCCTCGAGAGCCGTTTGCTGCCGCTGCAGCTCGTCAATGCGGCACTTCGCCGCGGCCTCGGCGGCTTGCATCTTGTCCTCGATGGCGCGTTGGCTTCGCAGCAGCTCGTCCTCCTTGGAGCGCAGCGCCGCCTCCGAGGTGATGCGTTGCTCCTCCATCTCTTTCAATCGCTGCTGCGCGTACTCGTCCGCCAGTTCATGGGCACGACGCAGCTCCGATTCCCGCCTCTTCTGCTGCGTGCGTGCGCGGTCTGCTTCCGCCTCGAGCGCCAGCATCTGGGCCTCGTAGGACTCGCGCTGATCCTCCAGCTCACGCAGCCGCGTCGCCAGTTCGGCCTCGCGCTTCTCCATTACCTGCCGGCGAAGCCTCGCGTCTCTCTGCTCCTGGCGGAGGCGGGCGTTTGCCTCCTGCAGCTCGGCCTCGATGGACGCGTAGTGGTGACCGTCGCGCTGCGCCTCTTCGAGCTGGCGGCGCAGCGCTAGCAGCTCTTCATTGGCGCGCCGCAGCTCCAGCGCGGACGGGTCTTCTTTCACGCGTGGTTTGTTCATGACTCGTCGCGCTTTTGCTGCGTAGTGAAGTGTCTGGATGGTCTGCGAGCGGTACGCCTCGCAGGGGCCGATGGTGCAGATCATCGTCGTTTTGCTGTTGCCGCCGAAGGCATCCCGCAGCAGCTTCGTCAGAACACTGTCGCGGTACGGTGGTTTGATGCCGCGCCGCTTTCCGTCGGAGAGGCATTCAATGACACACCCCAGCGTGAAGAGAGAGAGGTTGATGTCCTTCACCTCCTTCAGTTGCGTCCCCTGCACACCGGTTTCACTGACACGTTCGCTGCCGGCCAGGTCCACAAGACGAATGGTGAGGTTTTTGCTCGGCGCGCTCGCCACGGTCCCGTCCGGCTCCTCAAAGGAAATTATCTCCGTCAGGTCGATGGAGAAGATGGCGTGGCTGCGGCTACTGCGGTCGTTCGACTTGGTCGCCGCCGTACGACGCCAGCGGTTGCCCACCGCCAGCGCCTGCAGGAGATCCTCCGTGCTGGCCGCCGGGATGCGCCGGGCCCCGACGAGGGCAAACGTAGCGCTGTTGGGAGTGATCTCCTCGCGTACGCCGACGGAGGCGCCGGAGTTGAGTAGGTCGCTGATCTTCTCGCAGTAGATCTCGACGTAGCGCACGTGCACCTCCCAGCTAAGATGTTCGCCGGTAGGGGCGGTGAAGGAGCGACTCGCCAGCTCCATGAACAACTCGCGGCACAAGCGCGGAATGATGCCGGCGCCTTCCCCCTCGTCGCTGTCGCGGTAGTCGCCCATCATCGTGTACGTCTTGCCACTGCCGGTCTGTCCGTAGGCCATGAGGGTGCTGTTGTAGCCCTCCAGTGCGTGTAAGAGCAACGGGCGGCCGAGAGTCTCGTAGACGTTGACCTGCGACACCGGCGGCGACCCATCACGTGCCAACCCTGCGCCAGACCAGAGAGGGATGTCGACGCGCGACGGTGAGGACTCCTGGTCGAGCAGGAAAACCTGACCCGTCCGCGGATCCATGGACACAATCACGTCGTCGCTTTGCTCTCCCTGTGTCGGGTTCGGCGGGCGACAACGCACCGCCACGCGCACCTTCTCGTCCTGTGCACCAGGAGAACCGGAAAAGGGTTGGAAAGTGCCAGAGACACTGCAACTTGGCCGTGAAGCCCCCGCAGAGGATGGAAGGCTGCGCGGTGAGGGGAGAAAACCTTGCTTCAGGGAAAACTGATTCTGCGAGAGAGACGTGAGCGGCGTCATCCCGGAAGGCGACCGCAAGTTGCGTGACTTCTTCGACTGTGCGGTGGGCATCCCCTCCGAACTCATGCGAAGGGGCCTCATTAACTCCTTTGGGAACATGAGCCCAATGTGGTTGTTTTGGTGGTGGTGGTGGTCGCTTCTTCCAAATCCTTGGTATCTCTTTATCTTTCGACGTCGTTGAAAAGCAGCGTCAGCAACAAAACACTCCGGGGCGTTGTTGTTGGTTGTTGTTGAGACGTGCGTCGTCGAGTCCGCAAAACAATAGTAGTAACAATAGTCCTTGAGAAGCCTGCCACGCGACTCAAATGGCCAACTCAAATACTTCCTTCTAGTGTAAAAAAAAGCTATACTGCTTACAAGCGAAATGTAGCTGTGACATATATATATCTAATGGTCTATGTATGTGCTGGGGCAGTGGAGATGCACCGCCGTTACTATGACAAGGTAATGGTGAAATGTAAGGAGAAAAATCTAAAAGAAAAGAAAGAAAAAAATTTACACTCTTCTGGTGCTGTTGCTGCTTTCCAACACCGCACACTGAGTCATGTATCCGTTTTGCCCAAAAGACAAAGAAAAGAGGAGGGAAGAAAGAAGAAAGAGTTGTACACCTGAGAATGCGATGGAAGAAGTCATACGAATGACATTCAACGTCCTCTGCACGCATGAGTGTGCGTGCGCGTGAGCGTGTGCGGGTGTTTGCGTGAACGCACAAGGAAAAGATCGTCTCTGGATTTCTCCCTACTGTAAATATCCCACTGTTCCTCTCGACAGCCTCCGCTTTAAAAACAAAGGGAGGGAAATGGAAGGTCGAGGGCGCCACGATAACAGAAAGGAAAAAAGAATTTCCAGAAGAAGCGACGGCGACCATCTACATCCCTTCTTCGTCACTCTAAACGTATTACGCGAGCTACAGCGTCTTTTCTAAAGCATTGACTTCTTTTAATTTCGTTCTGTTGCTGCTTTTGTGCGTGAAAAAAAAAAAAACAAGACAAGTTCATTCAAAGAGATGCGACGGTGGAAAGCGTCGTCATTAATGAAGCACGAAGAAAAGCAAAATTTCGCTACTTTACACTAAAGGATCGGATATAATAAAGAAAACGCAGAACTCAAGCAGGAAGAGTAATACTCTGAAGAGAAAACCCCCAAAAAAAATGTGAATCAGACAAGCGTTCATTATATAGGACTCCTTCATCTACGTGCCTGCGCCACTACATGTATGTACATCTTCTTTGGGGGGTGAGAAATCATTGCTTCACAGCTGTTCAGCCAGAAAGCGAAACAAGAAGGCTACAAACTGGGTGAGGCAAAGAAACATTTCAGCGATGTCGCGATGAAACAGACAAAAGACAAAATACCAAATCTTTCATGACTAAAGCAAGGAAAAAGCGACCAGGAAACAAAAAAAGAGGCACTATTCGAAGGCGCATATTCGTCATATCTACGGTTTAAATGTGGTGAAACAAGGAAAAGGAAAGGAAAGAAAGGAACGAATGCTGATGCACGACTCACACGCTAAAGAGGCTGACCGGCATAAACACAGCTTTTTTTTTAAGGCTGAAGAGCTCTCATAGATAATGACAAGGCATAAGAACGTTGGCTTCCACACGCACCAACGAGGTACTGCTAAAAACAACTAAAAAAAAATGAAGGAGCTTAAATAGCATTCAGAAGGAAGCACGCGCCAGTCTTCTCGATTTCTTCCACTTCCGAATCGTCTTTGCTGTGGCCGACACAGTCCAGCATTTGGGGAACCCGTTCGTGAAAGTTAGAGGGAGCAAAAAAAAATAAGAGTAAAGAGACCGTTTAAATAAAGAAGCAATGCGTTCACTACCGATTTAGCAAGGACGATCTTAAAATGATAGATAAAAGATGAAAACAAATGTAGACTTCGTTTTCAAACCTTTCTATTCTTTTCAGGGTGCTTACGAAAAAACAAAGATAGTGAAAAGAAAAATGTGGTCATGAATTCAACATGGGGCACGCTGGGACGACATGGCAGAGTAAAGAAGTGTCGCGTGGCTGCCGATGAAACCGGCAAAGGAATGCGCCGAGAACGAATAGAACGCTCCAAACAGGTAAAGGATACCTACACAAGTCTCAAACACGCATGGCTAGGCAGAAATAAGAAACCAACAGTGTTTACCGGGCATGCAGTTGAAAAGAGGAAAAGGGGGCAATGTAAACAAAGTTCAGATTAACGCCGAAACATAAAACGATTCCGTCGGGCTTTTCTCAGGTATAAAAGAAACGTTAGAAACAAGAAGAATGACAAAAAAGGGAAAAAGAAGAAGCGCAAACAATAAAGCAACGAGAACCACAAACGTACGACCGAGTAGTTATCAAGGTGAACAAGCGGCAAAAGCATGTTATATGTGTTGAGAGTCAATAGATGCTGTTAAAATAAGGGGAAAAACCAACACAGTTAAATGTAAGTAATTGATCTCACCTGGAGCTCCGTAAAGGTGTCAGCGTTGAAAACAGAAGAAAAACCTGGAGTCTGAAAAGCCACCTTTTAAAAACAGTGAGAAAGAGAGAAGTACAAACTAAAATGCACGGTGGGCTCCTTTTTGTTCCCCATACGAGAACAGATTGAATAACGGGTAAGGATCGATGTGAGTGACGTTTTCTTTGTAGTAGTGGCCGAGGCCAGTTGAATAGTATCACAGGTTACTACATATTTATCGAAAATGCTTTTGTCCTTTTTCGCAGTAGTGCTGCAACGTATCGACTCTGCCGAAACCAGTAAGACGACCCACTGCATTCCTATTCGGTTCTCTGCTCGCCGCACGAGCTACTCCTAGACTACTTCAAACAAACAAAACGGAAAAAAGAAGCTTTAAAGGAAGACAATGATGATTAAAGAAAAGCGTTTGTTATATGTAGACAAGCTCACCACACATCGTGTACACAACCGTACGCTCTTTTTGTTTGCTACGAAGCTTTTCAACTTTGCACAAACATAACCGTTTTCTTTTATTTTATTTTTGGACTGTAAAGCAGTCGCTGTTACCATAATACCGGCTAATGTAAGAACGCAAAAAAAAAATGCTTTTTCTAAGGTGCGAAAAAACAAGGAGAAATAAAGCTAACAGAAAAAAAGCACAACAGAAAATAATATATACAGAAGAGACATCCATTATATATAGGAGATTATTTTTACTGCTCGTTATGAAGGGAAAGACAACAGAGGAAGAAAGAAAGAGAAGAAGATATGTATATTTGCTTTATTCCATTAGAGAAAAAGGCTGATCAACGGTGAATAAAACGTACAAGAAGCGGGGGGGGGGAAGTACGAACAGGGAGATAGCTTGCAAAGGAAAAAAACTATTGACAGGAATGCAGCTTAACGAGAAGAGAGAGGCAATACCAAAAAGGTGGTTATATAGACAAGATAACAAAAGATGTTTCTCCTCATGTATATATATAATTCGCTCATCACTGAATTGGACGTCCGTTCGAGCGTGGCCAAATATCATCATCATTCAAGCGCACCGATGGTGTGTTCAGCGCGTCTGTGGCCGGCGTCAGCGGACGGCTCGCATTCCGCGACACTCCCACCGCCGGCGGCTCAAGTCCATTGAGGGGCTCCGTGCTGACAGATGTGTTGGCGTTGCTCGTAGCCCGCGACGACGACGCGACGTCCACCATCGTGGCGCGGAGCTGGAACACACTTTGATTGGTGCCCAACAGATTGTCAGGGACGCTGTGGTTGCGTCCTGGCCCCGCACGGCGCGGCGTCACCGACAGTCGTGACAGCGGAGATGCGTTCAGAGATGACTGTGAGGTGCTGGTTGTGGATCGTTCACCCAATGAGTTAAAGGAGCTTCGCAGGTGACGATTGGCGGTGTTGTCTGGCCTCACCGTAAGGAAGTTCTCCCGCACAAATCCAAAGGGTGGGCTACTTTGGTCGTTGTCGTCCCTCCGGCTGGGCTGCTCCGGTCGCAGGAAGTGCGTCGACGTCTCCGCGAAGGAGTAGTGGCTTGTGCTTTCGTGCGCGCTCAGTGCGCGTGGCAGCGTCACCTCGAAGGTGGGCACCGTCTCCTCGTCATACGGGCAGCCCATTCCCGTTTCTTCGGTGTGCAGCAGCGGACTGAGCACCGGCACCAATCCTACCTGCTCCTCCGTCCCGAGTGAACTCGATCGACTGCTGCAGCTGTCGAAGTCATCCTCTTTCAGAAAGACGGGTGGTATGAGCGAGGGCATCCCTGCGGAGGGGGAGTGCGGCGAGGCAGCACTGTCCACAACGTGCGGGGGAGCGTCATCCGCCGCCGCGAACCACCGAGGCTCTACCTCCGACTTGACCGCCACCGTCGGCACGGCGGTGCTCGCCGAGCTGTACTTCAAGAACACGGTGGGAGTGCATGTGACCACCTCGTAGCCGAGCCCGCTCGCCACGCGCGCGATGTCCTCGCCACACTGCAGCGCACGTTGCCGCAGCGCGTCCGACTCGGCCGCGCGCGTGCTCCACGCACGATGCTCATCAGCTGTCATGGTCGGCTGCACTCCTCGCCGACCCGCCGTGCGCGTTGTGGGCGTCTTCTCGTTGTCGTTGACTTCATCTCTGTCGATGAAGAACGCAACATGGCGCAGTGGCTTGGAAGGGCGGTACGCGCTCGAGGACGGCTCTGAGGCCGGGGGAGAAATGTCACCGAGAGCAGCGGAGCTCATGTTTGTTGTGTGTTCACCGCAGCAGTTGTGTCTCAACAGACCACAAAAGAGAGAAAACAAGAAAAAAGAAAACGAATGGATCAATCGGTAAACTGCTCTGCTAGCTCAATCGCTTTTGTTGGTGTGTAATGGCGTTGCCTTCCTTTCTGCTTTTCTTTTCCCTTTGCGCCGCCAGTATTATTCCTTCAGGAAGAAAAAGAAAAGCTAGAATCGCAACTAGAAACCGGAAAAGCACGAGAGATGAAAAAAAAAAAATAAGAGAACGGAGCGAATTCAGGAAACCTGCAGCGACTACACTGAGACACAAGACGCTGATTTCCTCTTACCTTTTCCGAGGTTGCAGCGACAGAAAAGAATCCTAAGCAGAAAAAAACAAGACAAGTATATATATATATATAGAGAGAGAGAGAGGGAGATGAATAAACAGCTGAAGGTCAGAAAGTGAAAGCACAGAAAAAAGGATGCCAAAGGGCCGAAAAAAAAAAAGGAATAGGACAAGTAATCGTACAACGAGAGAGAGAGAACGCACCTGCTTACTGGTAAAGTGCGTTTGCTTTCGCCTCTGTGTGTGTGTGTGGTAAGAGTGTAGGGTGAGTGTGTTGGTGTGTTGCACAGAAAGCCAAACTCTATTTGCGGAGAAGGTTCTGAAGCAACAATAAAAAAGGGATCGAATTAGAGTTGTTTCTCTCTGTGATGTCACACAGGAATGCTAAACAAAAATTGTTGTTCCACACACAGAGATGCATCAGCATTCGATAAGGAACAAACAATAAACCCACTTACGTAACGTAAAGCTGCGCAGATGCGAAGGCACCGCTTTATTTTTCCGTGTCGTTGATTTTCAACAAACAACGTACTCGAAATCAACAAGCGTAGAAGAAAAAAAAAAATAGAGAAAAGAACGACTGGCACCTCAAATGAGAGAAAGGCTGTTTGTTGATTCTAAGTAGAAGAGTAAGGGGAAAGATATGTGGGGGCGTGATTTGAAAGAGCACCTCACGTACTTATCTGTATTTCAGTGAGTATAGCGACTTCTCATATGAATAGGGCCACATCAACAAAAGGAATATTACGCACACCAAAAGTAATAACGTATCTCTCTTGTTTTTAATTCTTGTGCAGCTGAAGCAGAACCCATGTGTGGAGCAAGCAGGAAAGTTGCAGTAGAGGAAGGGCACAAAGGAGGTAGAAAAAAAGCATTCTTGGCCTTATCGATGCACAACACGAGAGCGCAAAGAAGCAGAAAAAACATCAGCGTTTGCGTTTGCTTTTCGGTGCGTAAGAGAGAGAGGACAAGGCAGGCGGCATTCACAACAACTCTGTTGCGGAAAAGTGAAGCTGGAAATAAGAATGAAGCAGCTCCTGGTCAGATTTTTCAAATGAACTTCTTTAACTGGTGCGGCAATGTACACACGATGTTACGCTGCAGAGTAACAGAAAAATGAACAGCAAAAAAAGAAGTGTGAAGACAAACAAAAGTCGACTGGAAAGAAACAATTGCCTTCAGTAAATCTCCCGCCTCTAGCTTCATCCCTCAGCTTGTTCCCGTCGGTGAGACGACAAAAGCCTAAACGCACTGAAACAGGAGAGTAGCCGCAGCGCAACATCAGCGCTCGCCACCGGGCCACAAGCGACAACACAACTAAAGATACTAGAACAGCTCGAGCGGAAAAAAACGATAAAGAGCGCGTTATGAGTTTTGAACACGGCGAACGTTTTGCATGTACGCACACACACACACGTCAGAATGAGTGGGGCTCTGTCCACGCACGCACTGCTCGCCTACGGTGGGCCAATGGGACGTCGCATGATGATACGATACGCACGCGTGGTTGCAACGCTGGCCACGAGAAGCGGCTGAAAGAGAAGAAATACCATCACGGTAACGGTAATGCCGGCCAGCAACGGCTTCTCCAGCCGCGGGGCCTGCCGTAAGTCTAATCCCATGTACTCATCGTAAAACCCGTAGGCACCCCACCGCACCTGCAGCTGATACAAGCACCAGCCCACCAACACCATGTAGAACACATGCAGCCAATCTGTGTACGGGTAGGACATCATCACGTGGAAGGTGGTGTGGCGATCTGCGTGGTCAAAGTCCGTGAGCATGTAGCGCATCTGCCGTCGCTGCACCGCATCAAGACCGAGGGTGCGATACATCAGGTGGGTGTCCTCCTTTGGTTTATCCCCCTCAGCCACGTAGTCGTCTCGGGCGTCTGTTCGCCCAATCAACGCATTAAAGCTCCTTCGCACGCGCACAACCAGCGGATGGCTCTTGTGCGCGTCGTGCAACACCTTCAGGTGATCAGAGTCGCCCTTCAGCTTGCCCAGTTCCACCGTAGGAGGAAAGGCGTACCCTTGAAAGCGCATGACACCTTGTTGCTGCATGATGGTAACAGGATCGTATGCACGCAGCCCGGAAACGAGCTGGACTTGCAGTTTGGGGCTACTGCGCAGGTAATCAATGGGCTGCGTGTCCAGACCGCGATCCACCTCGTGCGCGGTGTAGGTTCGACCGCCCGCTGCCTTGCTATAATCGTTGCCGTCCTCTCCGTACTTTTTGCGGAAGTCAGCCAGCTGCTTCTCATACTGCTGAGTGCCATAATAGTACTCCAGCTTCTTGATGTCCGCCTCCAGCTGCTTTACGGCCGGCTTGGGCGCCGCGCGCTGCATCTCGTCCTCCGTCTCGTCTACGGACTTGTCCACCGCGGCAAACTCGTGCGATTCGGTGAAGATGCTGCGCTCTTTGGGCGTGCTGCCGCCTCCGCCGTGCTCCAACGGGGCCCTGTAGTCTGCATCAGCACTGCGCGGCGCGGCGTCCTGCAGTGTGTGAAGGCGACAACGGTGGGACACGCCTACGCTGCCCGCCGTGCTCGACGGCCCCTTGCCTAGTTCCTCGTGCGGTGAGGTGTAGTAGTAGCTACTTGTGTCCACTACGGAGCGTCTGTGCAGCAGTGGTTGCCCGGCGTGCACGCTGGTGCTCTGCACTCGCGCCGCATCCGCGTCCATGTACGTTAGCGCAGCTTTCTCGCGCGCAGCGAGGAAAGGGACACGGTCGAGTTCGCCAGGGAGCGGAGCTTCTACTTGGTGCTGCGCCAAGTGCTGCAACGGGCTGCCGGGCTTCAAGAAAGCTAGAGATTCGTCAGAAGGATCGCGCTTCTCCGGTGGGACGTAGAAAGCGGGCCGTGGGGGAGCCGGTGTGTCAATAATGGGTGGGAGGTCATCTCTCGCAGCTTCTTTCGTGGCTGACCCCTCGAGTCCTTGCGGGCGCGGCACCTTTGGAATATTAATACCGGAGGCGGCACTACTGTGGCCTCTATTGCTGCCGCTGCCGCTGCTGTGGAAGCGGCGCACCTCCCGCCCAATTTGCCGAGTCAGAGCAACATTAAAGCATCCGGTAAACAGAGATCCGCTTCGTAGCGAAGGCCAGGGGCGGACGCTGCTGCAGTGGCGTAATGACGCACTCCGCATTTTCGGTAGAAGATATCGGCTAGAATAAATGCTATTTGAAGTGCAGAATGCGTCGAAGATGCTCTTGGAAGCAAATTTGGGAGGCCGATCTCTGCTCCTTGTTGACGAAGCACTTCGGTTGAATTCTCTGTCAAATGGAGTTGCAGAACGCCTAGAATGGAAAGTCGGCTAAGAGGTTTTGAGATGAAGGGAAAAGATAACGGAAGTCAACGGCTTGCATTCCGCTTTCGCTTGATTTTGGAGTGACCTACAGAGAGCGACTGTGAGCGTTCACCTTCGCGCGTAGAAGGCAAAGGCGAAATGTAGAAAAGTAAGAAAATGACCGACCGCTGAGAGGTATAGAGGCAATGGAAACCTAGCAAAGTTAAAGCGCGTCAATACACAGCAGTGGAAAAAAAAAACCCGCGAAGCGCACTCTCACAGTTCAAGAAAGACCGCTACAGTTTCCTGAATAAGAATACCTTAGGTCAAGATAAGCGGTGGAGTCCCACGTCTGTTCACTCAGGCAATCGCAAAATGCTCTACCGTTTTCAACAAGAGTTTCAAGAGCTCGGACTGTGCCATTCCCTCTGATGGCATCTGTTATTCTGGAGTTTTTTTCCTTTCGTTGTTCACAGAATTTTCTGAGTTGTTGCATTATTCTCCCTTTTTTACAGTGCATAATTGGCCAAGAATGAAGCAGAATCATGCAAACCCAACAATAGTAGTGAAAAACAAAACACACAGAGTGTAATAATAATAATGGTAGAAATAGAGAAATAAAACCATGTAATAATAGTAATAATGATCATAACAATAAAAGCGTAAAACAGAAAGAGAAACGCGAGAGCTGACTCGTAGAGAGAGGGAAAATGGTGAAGCAGGTGACGTCCTTCAAGCTCGAAGAAATCAGGGAGTACTTCCAAAGCCAAAAAAAAACACGGTTGAGTCACATCACGAATTCCTGATGTAGAGCAGCAATAAAGACGTCTTGTGGATGCGACAGTTTCGGTATTGCCCCTCTGCACGATAATCGAGTTCGACACCTCTTACAACAACTCAGTGAACTGTAATAAGGTGCTCCTGTTGCGCCTCCGTCGCTCAAGCACCGCTGAAAAGTCCTGTCGCGCACAAATGGGAAAAAGAGAAAACAAGTTCTTTAGAAAGCATTGGGTTTTTGAGTGCGCCAGGAGACTTGTGGAGCTCGCGACTAGTCTGTCTCCTTCAGATTTTGCCGCTTAAGAGAAGAAGTGAAGAAAAACAATAGTGAATAAAAAAAAAGGCTAACTTTAGTGAAGCATTTGCTGGCTCAATAGCGCGGTGAATAGGCGTTTGTGTGTCTGTGAAGTGTATGAGTCCTGTTCCCTTTGCGTTCTCTTGAAGCCTCCTATTGCAACGTTGCATTAACAGAACCCCAATATCTGGCAAAGTGTTCTCCTTGCACAAACGGTGAAGTACAATCAATTATATGTTGGTAGATGGCAGAAATCGAGAAAAGGAGAAAAACTAAACTAACAAGCAGACAAAAAAAAAAGAGAACATATAATTATCTTACCGCTCTGTTAACTATAATAAAGGTATCGCTCAGCAGAAGGCAAAAAGTGTGACGGGACGCTGAATTAGATAAAGAAAACAAAGCTCTTGTTTGCCCGCCGCTTCCTCAAATCTTCGCACTTGCGCTCGTCTACGAAGCACCGGAAGTTAGCGTCACCGTTTCGCGTTCGCCACTGCCGTAGTAAAAGAAGCGGTATGCCTTGCACACCATTCCCTTTTCCCGGCATGCGTGAACATAGTGGGTTTAGCACCAATTGAATGGGAAGTGAAAACTTTGAGAGAACAAGAGAGCGATAAAGATAAAAGTAAAAACAAAAAAAGGTAGATGACACAAGATACAAACGAGCTAGATGTTCCTTCTTTCTTATTAATATGGTAAAAGAAACATGCAGTGGTAGAGGAGACAACTGGCTTTAGTCGTAGCGCGAAAACCCGTCAATTCTATTCTGGCCACCTACCGTGAGTCAGAGCAGCGAGTCTTCGTGCAACGGCCTCTTGTAAACGAGACGCTATTCAACTCTGTGCTGGCCGCGCATCTTACTCACTTCTTGCGGTATGTGGTGAAGTGCAGAACACGGATGGCGCCGGTGTCCTCCGAGGTTGGGAACGCCACGGGGATGGACACCCTCTCTCCCACCTGCTCCACGGCGCCACTGCCGCCGAGAAGGTCGAAGATCACCTTCTGACGGTCGCTCTTGCTGGCAATCAAACGGTCGGTCACGTACGTGTTGTCCACCATGCCCGCGTCCTCGGCGTCTTTCTTGATGTTGTCCCAGTTGTAGTCGCCGCCGATGACGAGAAGACCACCCTTCACGATGCGATTCAGCAGGTGGGCCGGGATGGCACTCGGGCGGTAGCTGCGCTCTAAACAGTTCCAGCACACCACGAGCGAGAAGTTCGACAGGTGAGCGTGCAGGTTGGTGGGGTCGGCCTGGAAGAAGGTCGCACGTTCGCGCGTCGGCCCCCAGGAGTACGAATCGCTGCGTACTGTCCGCGCGGCCCGCTCCTCATTCGCCGCTGTCTGCACGCTGTACTGGCAATCCCCGCGCTCGCGGATGGCGAAGGCGGGTATCAGGCGACGGGAGGTGTAGTCCACGCCGATCACCTGTTGGAACGCGCTGGTGAGCTCGAAGGCGACACGGCCAGCACCGCAGGCAATATCCATTGCCCGCGCAGCGGGGACCTTCGCGTGCTCGGCGAACATCCGGCGCGCGTACTCGGCGATGGCGACGCAGCCGTTCGGCGTGCCTTGTAAGGAGTCGCGGAAGCACATGTCGGTGATGGCATCCACCTCGGAGTCCAGGCCGAGGGCGCCACGCTTGCTCAGCGCCGCGTCCACCTCGGGCCCCTCCACGTAGCGGACGCCGATGTACTGGAAGAAGTGGCGGCGGAAGGCGAAGCGGGCGTCGCGCGTGGCTTCGTTGCCGGTGCTCACCCACGCGCCGCCTTTCATGCACGTGTGACGCCCGTCAAAGGTCGGGAGGGAGAAGTCGTCGTAGAAGGGCTGCACGCGGAAGCCCGAGTACGGGTACACCGGCGTCGCGCAGTGCTGCCACACGTTGCCAACCACGTCGTACAAGTCACCGTGCTGAAACTTGTTCACCGGACAGCTGCTTTGGTAGCGCTCCATGTTGATGTTGCCAGGCGCTTTCGGCCCCCATTCGGGCATGTCTTTCCCGACATACCGGTCGAACAACAGCGTCCACTCTGCTTCGGTCAGCAAACGAACTTTCTTGCCCAGCTGCTCACTTTTGAAGGAGCAGAAGGCGTGGGCCTCGAGGTTGTTCATCTCGCACGGCCAGTCCCACGGCAGGTCAATCACCTCCGTCTGCAAGCGCAGCGCGTACCCGCTCGAGCGAGACTCATCGCGGACCCAGAACCACGGGTGCTCTGGCTTCTTCCACTGCACCCAGCTCCAGCCCTCCTCGTCCCAGTACTTCTGCTGCCGATAGCCGTCCGCCTTCATGAAGGCAAAGAACTCGGCATTGGAGACGACGTACTTACTGGCCTTGAAGGGCGCCACCTCCACGACGTTGTGGCCGTTGGAGTAGTCGCAGTCCCACCCGTATATGTTCGAGTCAGGCGGGCGGCCCACCTGCACCTTGCCACCCTCAATGGAAACCAGCTCGTTGACCGGGGCGCGCGTGTTTGACTCCGGGCAGCGCTGCCAAAAGTCAGACATGTGCGTCGAAACGAACTTCATGGGCAGCTCGCGAACATGCACCGAGGCCGTCTCGATATGGATGCGCTCGTGCTCGGCACTCATCAGCATCACCCACCAGAACGCGTTGGCGTCATTCATGGTGCTGTTCGCCAGCGTCAACGGCATCGCCAACGGAAATTTGCCGCTCGACATGAGCTCGTCAACGCGGTCGCGCACCAGACGGCGGTACTCACACACCTCCTCCACCTTGGGCCAGGAGTAGTGCTCCACGTTGAGGTCGTCCCAGCTCATCTCATCCACGCCGATGGCGCACATCTCCTCGAGTTTCGGGTTAATGCGCTCTGTCAGGCCGGCCACACAAAGTTTGTTGATATAGAAGGCGGCAGTGTGACCATAGTAGAAAATCATCGGGTGGCGAAGCTTATGAATGGGCTGCACAAGAAAGGACTCCTCGTAGGCGAGGCACTCGAAAACTTTCTCGTACAGCTCCATCGTGTTGTGCACGTAGTTGCGGATTTCCTCCATCTTCGCGACGGCATCACCGCCGTCGATGAGCGGAACGCGCTGCACGAAGAGGTTGCGCGGGGTCGCCAGGTTGTAGCGCTGATCTGCCTCCTGGCCACTGTAATGATAGAGGTGAAGCGCCTTCATGATTTCACGCTGCAGAAACGGAAGAGGGACGGACACTTTTTTGGAGAGGTGAATAATAGAAAACGAGAACACTTTGCTTTTTTGAAACTCCGACGAAGTCGGAATGATTGGATATGAGAAGAAAAGAAAGAAACAAACAGCAATATGTGAATGAATCTAGCTTGGCAAATAGAAAAGATAAGATAAAGATGGACCGGAATTGAAGCAGCAGGATATGGAAAGGTGAAATCCACAAAGGGGTTGAAAAATAATCCAGGCGCACGCCGAATGCGCGTGAACGTGTCATCGCATGGAAGAAAAACGAAGAGGCTATGTGGAAGTCTTCTGACTTCTTTTCTGTTGCTGTTGATGTCGTGAGATTGCAGAGGCTATGCACACAGATGTTCATATGTATATTCGTTGACCTCCCAACGCCTAACTTGAGGTCGTCGCGATATTCCCCAAGTGCTTCTCACCCGTTAACAAAAAACTTGTTTTCACTTACGTGCGCATTGCCCAATGAATAGCAGAAAAATGAACTGAGCAAAGGAGCCCAACGCAAACGATGCAGACGGCAGAAAAGAGGGAAAAAGTACAATCTTGGCTTTCGCGAAAATGTGATTCTGAATGCCTTCCACTTGAGTGCGCTGGCTTTGCGTGTGTTGTCCCTCAACCTCACGCGAAAAAAACATGCAACAAAGTAAAAAAGGCGCTCAACTCGCTGGATAAACGCTCTTTTTGTGTGTCAAGGGGTAGCAAACTTCCCGTTTGCGTGGCCACCTCGCGGTGATGAGGTGGAGCCGTCTGCGCCGACACTGGATCTTGACTTAGCAACGAGAACACCTTGTCCAGTGCGGTGGCATGAAAGGCGGGAGGCGGTGAGCAGTGATGAGAACGCTCGAATGTGCACGGCAACGTCAGCGGCTCAGTCTCCGCGACCGTCATCTCTGCCTTCATACTAGAGGACATCGCGCTGCTTTGTCCGTGCTTCTGCTTTAACCTTGTCAGCAGCGCAGCACTTCGTTCTACAACCGTCGCATAATCGCCGCCTGCCTGCTCTAACGACGTGGACGGAGAAACTGAAAAACTACAACACTCGTTATCTTTTGGCCGATGAAGAGGGGACGTCAACGCCGCAGCATTTGTGTCGTCGTCGCGACCAACAAGTGCTGCATCGGCTGATCTGCTCCGCCTTCGTTTGTTGCCGCGTTCCATTGCAGAGGTAGGTGCACCGATGAGCGCAGCACGTCAGGCGAAAGCAAGTTCAGCCGTGGAAGGGCGGAGAGGACGACAGAGCAAGAGAATAGCCGTCTCACCTCACATAAATGGTCGGTCTTTTGACAAAAAAAGGTGTTTTGTGGTCAACGCTGAGATAAGCGAAAGGCGAAAAAGCAGAAAGGAGACGAAGTGGCAGCGTGCAGAAACGAAAAAAAAGAATTGAAAGACAGCCACCGACAACACTGAAGAGCGGGATAGCCATCCGCAGCACCTCATCAGCGCACATGATGGAGAACGAAATTTCACACCAATGTCCATGAGCATTTCAGCTTTGCAAACCTGGCAATCATGTCGAGTTTACCAGCCGTCGTTACCGCAACGGAAACGTAGCCATGCGGAGTAACAAATCACGGGAGGGCAGGCTTGTATTCCAAAGTTGCACGAAATGGATCTTTGAACGAAAAAGAAAAAAGCGTTTTCACCGTGTTCTCCGTTCAGAGAATTGGTTATATGGACAACGGTGTTTACGAGCACGATCCTCCCACATTAGCAACAACTTGAGTTTCCGTCTACTTTTTGATTTTGTTGCTGACAACAGCTTTCGGAGCTCATTTGTTACAAGATCGAGGAAAGAAAAGGAAAAACGTGTCGGCCCAGCAAAGCTGAATGGTAATAACACAACTAGTCCTCCGCACTGCAAAACTTGATGCGAAAGTTGAACGCATTGGAAAGGGAGGAAAAGACACGAGAGAGACGATTTAAAATAATAGCAATAGCGGGAGTGCATGAAAGCACTGTCACAGAGCTTTCAAATACAGGATGCACCCCAGCAATGTCATCAATCCGACGCTGTACAGAGCAAGAACGACAGAAGCAGTCCCCACTGAATCATCTTCCAGCCCATGCACCGCCAAGTACTCGTCGCCGGTGTAGCAATATGACGTGTTGTTTACCCCGTCGCATTGAAATTTGTTCCCGTGCAACCACGTGTGCAACACCGCGCCGTACCCCAAGCGAAGGAAACTGAGACGGGTAAAAAGCAAAGGAATGGTGTGCAGGTTCAACAAAAAGCCAGAGAAGATGATGTTGTACCCAAATACCGCATAACACACCCGCACAGTCCACAACCGCGATGGAAGGACGGCGGCCGCCACGTACTGGAAGGCTGCGTGGGTGCAGCCCACAGCCCACGCCAGCAAAGCTAAAGCATATGACGACTTGAGCACAAATACGACAAATGGAAAGAACAGAACTAAGTAGACGGAGCGGATCAGCGCAATGCGAAGAGCCAGGCAGAGAGCAAAGCCCACTACTCCATAAAGCTGCCGCTTGCAATGGATAACCGCAATGCGCAGCTGATCACCAGCGCGGTCCATTGTCACCAAATTGGTGAAAAAGACTAGGGTGAAGGCTGCAAAAATGAGGCCGCGAATGTTGTACATCCCACCCTGATTCTCCGGTTGCAAATGCGTTAGTACGGCTACCAAGATCAGTCCAACGGACATGCATAAAACTCCCGCCACCAGCTCGGCATCCGCCGTGATGTGCTTTAGAGAGTACAACAGCAGTATGCAAAATTTCCATAAGCTGTTCGGAGCTGTCTGCGGCAGCGTTGCCGTGAGCACAATCGACGATGGCGGCGTGTGAGCAATGCCGCTTTCCACGGAATTGACCAGAACGGCACGAACGGAAGAGTCGTAGTATTTTGCGGCGTAGTACATCGTTTGTACTTCGCTGTCCGCCCACTCCGCCGCCAGGTCCACCAGGTCGCCGCTGGTGGAAACCTCCACCACCGCCACCGGCGTTGATGATGCGTTCGTCGCTGACGTCACGAGAAGCTGCGCGAAATCGTCGCGAAAGTACGCGGGTGCAAGGCGGGAAGAAAGCCGCGGTGGAGTGCACATGGCCGCATACACACGAGTCTCTGGCCTTGAACGGTCTCTCTGCACGGACGACTTGACGGAAGCCACCGTGAGCGGCGATGCAGTCGGAAAAGACGTGCTTGCGTCGTTCCCGACGGCTGGAACGTCTCGCGTAGGCGTCAAGACCGCCTTCCATAGAGGCTCGGGAATGCTGGATGGGATTCGGAGGCGATTGAAGTACGAAAGGGCGTCCTTGCACCTTCCAGAGTAGAGCACGCGTCCCTTTGACCCGAAGAGGAGAAGGGATTCGGCGGCGGAGAACATATGCATGGGAAGGGAACGTGTACTCAGCACGACGGTTTTTCTGATCTCCCGCGTCAGTCGGCAGAGAAGCTCGGTGCCTTCCATCTGTTGTGCCAAACTCATCGAGTCGAAAGAGTAACAGAGCAAGAGAGCTGGTGGATCCAGCACCAGCTCCAACGCGACCTGCAAGCGGAACTTTTCCATTTCCGTGAGGTCGTAGATTCTCCGGCGGATGTCAATGTTAGTGAAGTTTGAGGCCGCAAGCACCGTTTCACGCTTCCAGCTGCGCCGCTCCTTTTTGTGTAGGTGCACCATGCACCACAGATGGTCCTCGACGGACAGCTGAGGAATCAGCAGCAATCCCATTCCAATAGATGCGATGAGGTGTCGTCGATCGCGCTGCTCTGCTGCTATGCCGTCGATCCAGATGTCGCCGGACGCACATACCGTCCGTCCTGCTATGGCATCCAGCAACGCCGCCCCAGCAGTTCCGTCCAAATCGGTGACCAAATGAAACCCTCCCCTGCTGAACCTCGCCGACACGCACTGGCAGCAAATACGTGCGGAACAAAGTATCGGGAGACAATGGTGAAATACAGAGCTTCGCACTACGGCGACATCTCGTAACGCAATCTCGACCCCACCGGCAACAAAGACAGAGTTGTAATACTCTCGCAGGCGCTGCGCAGGGGCGTCCGAGGCGTGCGCAAAGGGTTCGTTGCCATCGCCATCCCACCGCCGATACTGCGGGGTGTAGGTCAACGGCGAAGAGCTGCCCACCAGCGGTGTACTTTCGCTAATCATGCATGAACACGCTCGTTTGAACAAAAAAGAAATGAAAAGATCGACAGATGTACACTGGAAACAGAAGGCGGATGGACACGTTAATGCCACTAAAAAGAAAAAGGAAGAGGAAGAACAGACGTTGAAAGAGGCGAAAACGAAACAAAAGCGCTACCGCGTTAACGCCGTGACTCGCAGCACAATTACAAGGGGGACACTGTTCGTCACGTTAAATTGTAGAGTAGAACAGCCGCCATTACAACGCGGGTGTCGGCAACGGGAAGGACTTTTTAACTTCACTTTCCTTTAATGTTGAGCTGAAGGTTTCTTCACTGAACGGGCATACACTCAACTCCCAATAACTCCCCTTTGCATCGAGCTCCAAAGGAAGTCATCTGTGTACAACGTGTAGCCAAGCACAGGCTTTTGGCTTCTCTCCGCCGTCGAAGTTTTCAACGATTCTTTTAGGAAAATAAAGGTTGTATTAAGCAACTTAATAATGGCAAATAGTAATAACAACAGTGAAAGGTTAAAGGCGCAACTCGGAGAGGGGCGCTTGAGAAGACAGACTACTTCGCTTTTCTGTCACAACAAAGAATCCATATTGGCAGTGTCGCACGTACGCACAGAGAAAAAAAAAAATGTATTGCGCGAACCGTTCTGTCAAAACTATTCGATCCAGAGACGGAAAGTGGGAAGCAGCGTTGAAGCAACAAAAGTGACTCTCCGGCTCTTTCTCACCTCCTTCTCGTCTTCGTATCTAGCTCCACGCATTTTAAAAAAAGCGATCAGTTTTACCGAAAGAGAAGAAACAAAAAGGAAATGTGCTGTAGCACGCCAAACGATCCGACTCCCTAACCTTCACAGCCAGAAAGAAGAAAAGAAAATCGGTTTGCGCTTCTACTTTTTTGCATATAGATTAATGTGACAACACGAGTTGTCTTGCAGCTGGTCTCCGCAAAGAAGTTCTATAATACAACGCAGAGCTACCTCGTTTCAGCGAGTAGCGACGCTAAACTACGGAAGGGAGTATACACGTATCAAGAATAGCAACATACAATATCGTCGCGCTCAAAATGGTCGCAATGGATACACATTCTTTCAATCAGAGGAAATTGGAAAGGCAGTTCGTGCCAGTTCATACTAACCATCTTTTCCAGAAGAAAGAGGTAGCTAACAGTTCGCACAGGGAAAAAGACGAAAGAGAAACAGCTGCAGCACAATACTTATATAATGAGACGCAAGCGACTTACAAAATGCACAAAATCGACCTTGAGAGCAACAACAAACGAAGAGGAGCAAAACTCGTAATAAAAAAGATAGAGACGTGCGTACGAATGCCTCAGCTACTTATTCTCTCAATACTACCATCAACACTTATTTCGAAGCCGACTGCGACGCGGCAGTGGGAGACTCCTCCTTTTTAGGAGCTCCATCACGCTTTTCCTCCACCTCCGGCTTCGGTGGCGGTGGCGGTGGCGAAGGCTTTGCAGCCTTGCGGCAACGCGCACCGATACCGACAAGAGCCTTCTCCGTAATGGGCTTCGAACCAGCTCCGTAATCGAACGCGTCGAACAGCGTTGACACAGCGTGGCTAGAGTTGTGGGTCTCGTGACCAATGTATTCGATTACATCAGACACAACAACGGTCTCCTCGGGCAGCTTGTTTTTGCTGAGTTTTTCGAACATCTTCGTCACATTCTCCTCCGTCAAAAACGCACCAACGACTTCTTGGACGCCCTCAAAGCCGATTTCAGAGTCGCTCTTTTCGGCTGACGATGTAATGCTCTCGATCTTTTCGACGAGTTTATCTGCGCTCTTGGCGTCATCGCTAATGGACGGCATTGTGTCGACTGTGTCGCACAGCGTCTCAAGACTGGCGCGCACGGCCTCTGGGAGGTTCTGAATACCGAGCAGTTGGCGGCGCTGAGCCAACGGCAAGTTGTTCATTGATTTTCGGATGCCGTACCGGCTCGGCTTGATCCACCACAAGGTGTTGTACGGAACGCTCCCGTCCTGGGCGAGAGAGCTCCACCACTCCAGTTGCACTCGGAGTGTCTCCGTGCCCTCCATCCAGCGCATACCGCGGGTCAGGTTAGCCTTGGTAAGTTCGTCATGTGTCATGATGTCAATGCCCTCAAGGCGGATAAGGCGGTCGTCCTCGCGGACTTCGTGATAGCGGCGGATGATGGCGCGTCGCATGATGGACGCAGAGAAACGCGTGGGGAGCAGCCCATGATACCACTTGAAAACGCCGACGGAGCGACCTAAGCCGACGGCGATGTTGTCGGGAACTTTGAGAACACTAAAACTGCCGTCGCGGTCAAAGTACTGCGCTACGGAGCGGATGTCTTTCGGCGCGATCGACTCCCCACGGACGCTCCGCCGAATTACTTCTTGCTGATCCTTGTCAAACGTTGCCAACGCCGTGGCGGACAAATAGTCCATGACGCGCTGCCGAGCGCGCAGGGTTGCCATGGCGTCGTTAAAGAGCCGATTGCGTCCCTGCGACTCAGATTCGAATGTGGACGGAATCAGACCAGGAAACATCTTTAGCGCCACCGGGAGAAGAAGCTCCGCAAACGGCACGACAATGAAGAAGCTAAACGGCACAAGACGCACTAAGTCCTTCGTGGAACTCTCAAGCAGAAGCCTCTCACGTCTGGTGAGAGCGACCCCTCGTTTCAGCTGACGAGAGTACTTCCACGCGAGTCGAGTATTGATGAAGAACAATCGGAATCCGTGGTAGAGGTGACGAAGGATCTCGTACGTGGCACTCGCATAGTAGCGCAGTTTCGACGGCTCTTTCTTGGCTACATGTTGAGAAGATCCACTAGCCCCTTTTGCCACCGCTTTCGCGACTTGCGCGTTGGCGCGCCTCACAAAAGAGCTGCGGAGCATTTCTGAATCTTCGCGTTTTGCGACGCACCCCAGGCAGAGTTGCGGGTCCGAGAGGGAACAGAAGAAAGAAAGTTAGCGGACAGCAACGAAGCAATATTGTGCACCACAAGACGAAAGAGGGAAAAGGAAGAGTGTGTATAATTATTGTGGCTCTAGGAAATGAAGATGCTTCAATACCTTGGGGTGGTTGTATTTCTAATATCCATTCGAATGAGTTTGCCAAAAAGACGAGAGATGCGTGTAGCAGGACAGAGACGCGATAGAGGGCGAACCATGTACAACAAAATTCTTTCAAAATGCATCCTACATACTGTTGAGGCACCACACGTTCTTTTTATTGTGTTGTTGTTTTCAGGGGCCTTCGAGCATTTTCCAACTGCAGCAATAGAAAGTTTCACCTTTGGAAACCTCTAAGATCATAACTGCGTTGTTGAGAAAAAGCTTTGCTCTTCCTGAACAATAAGTGATGTGGAAAAATGTCTCGGAGACAAAAGCAAAAAAAAATTGCTTAATATGTATGAAGCTCGTGTTTTGTAATGTACTCGCTGCTTCTTGCAGTTGTTGCGCCCATGACGAAAAAGCTGGCGAGAATAAAAACGAGTGGGATCCACATGGAAAAGAAACCCCGAGAGAAAAAACGCTTGAGTTCCTTTCACCGCTACGCCTCCTTCTTCTCTTTGAGCTTTGCCCCATCTGCATCACTCTTCACCTCTTCCTCAGATGTCAAGCCAAACAGATCTAGAACAGACGCCCATACAAACATCCCCAGAGACTCTTCCTCTTCGTGGGATGTCTCTTCATCCCGTGTCTTTTCGTCGCTGGAAGTAGAGAAGACAGTGAGAATGTCAAAGTTCCACGCCGCCCGCACATCACCTTGATAAATGGCGACCGCACAGAATGAGATAAGTAGCCATGGCACAATGAATAGCAGCGCCGGTTGGCCGTGTTGAAAAATAAGCATCACAGCCATGGTGTTAAAGAGACTCAGCGTATACGCCACCATTGCTGTTGCGAAGTACAAATTGCCTCGCTTGACAAAGTCTTTCGAGAAAACCAACGTTTGACAGATGAAAAAACCAGGGACTATGATGTCGCCAAGGCCCAGCAGGCTTTTCTGCTGGTGGTCACCGAAAATGGTCTGCGGGAATAGTATTTTGATCGGACCGTCAATGCCAGTCGCGACGGTGAGCATGACATCGGACCCAAAGACCCAAAAGATGTCGTAGAAAAACAAGCCGATCAGCAGCACAAATGACGCCGAGAATCCACCGACATGTAAAGATTCAAGGGCAGTAACACCAAAAGCGAAAGCTAGAACGTTGTTGGCAATCCAGCTACCTGTCATGTAGCTGACGGTGGCAATTCCCACGCAGAGCAGCCCAGTGAGAATGTTCGCTTTCACGTATCCTTTAACGAACGCGTTCAGGGCGAAAATGCTCAACAGACTCAGGCAGAAGGAAATCAACGCGTTGAAGAACTCTTTCGGAATAAAGCGTAGCAGGACGTAGAGAGAAAACAGCATAACGGAGCCATTCAAAGGCATCGACAGTGCCTCATCGGTGTGGAGGGTGTTTTCGGACTTGCCACGCATCAATGCATTCCGGCACCTGTGCGAGGCCACGCTCACGACACTGACAGCGCACGAGACCAAAAATCCCAGAGCAATGTATATTTGAGACATTGTAAAGGTCAAACAGAAAGAAAAAAAAAGCTAAGCTATAGACAGCAATGTAAAGTTTCCTCGACCAGCAAACTGATTTTATGTGAGTTTAGACTTCCGAGGGAAGTTTGATGGACGCAACAAGGAAGAAGTTAAAGAAAGCTGGAAGCACAGAATAGAAGAATCGAGAGGTGCAAAGAGTCCGAGAGAGATGCATTAGCTGAGACCTGATTCCACCCTCCAAACTCGCGATGAACCTCCAACATATTATCTATTCACCCCGCGCAGCGTCCCGCTGCCAAACTTACTCCCTACAACGTCAGGGGACGATGGTGCACTGGACTTGGCGATTTCCTCTCTTTCCATTTTTTCTAATAGGTAGCACTACTAACGAAGCGGCAAACAAGGATAGTTGAATTGGTTAAACCCAAGGATCCCTATCGTGGTAGGCAACCACGGGGGTGGGTGGGTGGAAAAGAAAAAAAACTCAAAAGTTGTGTGAGAACTTTGATTCTGCAAGTCCGAAAGATAAGGCGAAGGAGAAGAGCGAGGAAGAGTAGTAGAGGTAGAAATCATGTCATCAGCAAACGTCGGAGCCATTGTTCCTCATCCTCCTCGTATCATTCTTACTCTTTTCATCACTCCATTCTTTTCGTAAACTATCAAAAAAAAAGATCTTGTAAATGCCGTAGAACGCAAAGCGGTCTTCTTGTCTCGCCTCTGCATAAGATCAACGAGGCGTGACTGTGGCAACAACACGACAAATACAATGGTGTTGAATGCCGTTAGCGTATTAGCACTGTCAGCTCCTTTCAGTAGCATTGTTACTGTGGTACGCGTTTCCTTTTAATATTGTTCTCTCATCTTGCTGGTGTTCATCTGAGTAGCAGTAGTATATATAAATTGTGTAACTGTAAGCCGGTGTGAGCGTCAAACAACAAAAAAGAGGGATAGAGAAGTCCATCGCTTAGAAGCCTCGCTTTCTCTTTGGTGGAGGTAGTTTTCGACCGTAAACTTCTCTTTGCTCTTTTTCCAGAGCGAGGCGCCGCAGAGCACCACGGTGGCGCTTTGATTTGAGGTGCGCTTCCATTTGCCCTCTCCCGTAAACGAGCAGGCCACAAATAGCGCATTTCTCTTGACACACAGGTGCCTGCGTGCGCACCTCCTCCTTCAAAGGATATTCAAGATCTCCTGCGACATTATCACAAGGCGCAATGAAAAATGTCTGCAGGAGGGTACTTATGTTGAGTAGCGCACCGTTTCCTTGGTCTGTCGGAAACACAACGAAATGAGTCCACTGCTCTTTAAGAGCGGTCGTTTGCAAAAGTCTAATGAGACGATTTTTGATCCATCGCTCTTGCTGTCGTGCGTAGCGGCGGGTATTGGCTTTCACTTGCTCCACCGCAGTTTTTAGCTCCGCCTCATTCACCTGTGACGAATTATGCTCCGCAAGCAACCTCAGAAATTCTTTACACCCGATAGCCTCTGTTAAGCTGCTGTGTGGCGGGTTCCCTTTAAATGCTGCCCAAAAACCACGAACCTCGTCAATCATACCGCGGTGGAGCATCTCGTCTACTCGTTGGTTCAATGCGCTGTCTAGATGCGGCCGCTCCATGTGTGTCCAGATAACAAAAACGGAGCAGCAATCAAAGCGCAATTGCGTCTCATGCTCTTCGAAAATAATGGATGGTTTTTGTCCGGTATTCTTGTGAATGTCAAGCATTCGCTTTATTCTACGAGAGTCATTGGGGTGGTAGCGAGACGCCGTATCGGCGTCGATTTCGTGGAGACGCTCCCATGCATTTTCGACTCCATCACGGCCTTCCTTCGTATCATCTGGTGCGGTAGCATCAACGTCATGCACGAGAGAGTTGGAAAAAAGCAGTGCTTGAACGTAGTAACATGTTCCGCCGCAGACAATAAGTGCCGCCCCATCGTGTTGTTGAAAATACTCCGAGATAAATGAAGTCACCATTTTTTCGTAAGTGTGCACGTTAAAAATCTTCTCCTGCTTCAGCGCGCTTGATGCCGCGGCATGCGCTGCAGCCTCTGTTGGTGAAGGGTATGCTCTGGAGGCACACAAAGTCCCATCGGCCTCAAGAAACCCTAGGAACGCATGAGGTACATTTCCTAGTTGTTCAGCAGATGGCTTATTGGTGGAGATGGGGAGAGCGTCGAAGCACTGGTAAACGTCACAGTTGACTATCGCAACATTTTGGTATCCGTAGGAGCCTTTTAACTCTTGAGCTAAGTGCACGGCTACCTTTGATTTGCCTGTACCGGTAGACCCAATGACAAAAAACACCGGATTCTTAACGGGTGGCATTGCACCCAATAATAATAGCACTTAAAAGAGACTGGAAGAGATGCAGAAGAGGAGAAGTGTTCCAGGAAAAATACAAGACATTTTTTTTTAAGTCATTATTCGTCCGCGGTTGGAATGACACAAACTCTCCATAACACTTAACAAAGAAGGCGGAGTCCTTAAACCAGAAAAAAGTTTCTGAAACGGCGATGTAAAAGCGTCTCTCTCAGTTTATTCAGTTTTGAATATCTGAAATCGTTGATTTTGCCTACATTAGTCTTTTGGAAAACCTTTCACGTGTGTGGAAATAGTTATTAATTTAAGTAGCATGTTTAGTTTCTACTTTGCATTGACCGTTTCGATTAGATGCTTCGGATGAAGATGACTATAAGAAGAGAGAAATGCAGATACTAGCAGCTATACGAACTTTAAAAGGCATGCACTTTGAACAAACGTATATATACATTTGTCGGCAATGTTCAAACAACAAAAAAACCTGCAACAAAAGAAGTTCGTTTCCCCTCATTCACATGATTAGTTGCTTACTGCTCTCGTAAAAGCTCGTCAACTTTACCAATAGCATCACGTCGTAAACTATCTGTTTCATTACGTTTTACCGCCCCTTCATCTCTATTAGGTATGGTGCCGAGCTCACGCTGAGGATGCGGTACGGAGGAGTCACGAAGCTGTCCGCCCTCATTCGGGTCTACTCCTTCTTCTCCGTCCTTAAATGGATCACCACATGGATAGTTCCAGCGCGCACATAACGGGATGCGGATTACGTCTGTGAAGTTGTACAACAGAATGCCAATAACAATAATAATGTATGACACGAAAAAGAGTCTTGTTGGATAAATCTTGAAAATAGTCACATTCCAGATAATACCGTAGATGTTGGCAGTCAAAAGAGAAACGTTTGCAAACGCAGCGCTAGAAATGATGAACAGCAAAGGCATCAAAGTGTACAACAACAACATTGAGATGCCGAAAACCATTAGGAAGAGCCAGTCCCAATTCGTCCATGCGGAGCGGTTTGGTTTAAAATTCTTCCATTCAGCCGCAAAAAACTGGATCGTTGCGAAAACCGAGGCAAACAAAGACATAAGCGCCAAATTTTCGACCAATGGCACATACACTGGTGCCTTGGGGCGATCCTCCATGGATTCAAGTTCGACTTCTGCACCGATCTGGTGGACAGGCTCTTCATTTTGTGGTTGTTGCAGTACCGGCACTCCATCATTTGCTATGGACTCCGACTCGGGCTTCCGGCAGCGAGCAAAAAGGTTGGCCTGCTTTGATGGTTTCACAAAAAGTTCAGTGAGCACGTTACTAGTGGCATACAGGGCACTTGAAATCAAGCACAATATATCGCCGAGCACCTCCTTGCTGCCACCACTCTGATTGCGAGACAAACCATCTGCGTCGAGGGCAATGAGGAAAACGAGCCCACCGATAGCGATCGCGCCACCAGCTATATGAGTCAAAGCAAACTTCATTCGTAGAATAAAAAAGCTTAGAACAAGAACGCAAGGGACTGTAAAACAGCCAAGCAACTGAGCTGACATCATATTTGTGTACTGGTACGCAAGCACAACAACGTAGTTGGCCTCCAAATCCACAAAGGCAAGAATGGCATACTTCCACCACCTATCGAAAAATCTAAAATCAGAAAACTTGCGGTGGCGAAATTTGTACAGTAGAAAAAGAAATCCCGGTCCATAGAAGGACAAAATAAATAAATACGATGTTAAGCACTGAAGCACGGAATAGCTTGCATTATTGTTCGCAAGTTCTGTGGTGGAAACACCGGTAAGAGAGTTGAGAAAGGCCACAGCTTGCCCGACAAGAATGCGCTTTATCATCTCCTTCGTTGCACCGAACCCGCAACCAGACGAACCCTCCATTGCGCCGAAAAAGAAAATTGGCTCAAATGCTTAAAAGTAGTTGATGAAATGATCTGGAGGTGCTTGTTCTTGTGCAGCAACAGCGAGAAAAAAGGACAGAAAAAAGTCGAAAGAGAAAAGGTTCTGGGGAGAGTGAAAACAGCAGACACATCGCGAGCATGGGACGGTATCGTTCAATGCTCAACTCTCTCTCTCTGCTAACGCGACAACTCAGATTTGCACGAGCTGCAAATTGCTTTTTAGAGAGCCTTCTTTTAGTTCACTCATCCGCTGACGCACTCGCTTTTTCCGTGAATGATCTGTGGAAAATTTCAGTTGCGACTCATTCTTTAAACAAAGCAATACCTCAGTAAGAGTTTTTGCTCAATCATTGATCATTTCTTTTGTCGCCCAGATTTCTTGCATTTGATTGATCACTTTTACAAATACGAACGATTCGCAGACACACTGTCAACTGTCGTTTTTTTTTTTTAGTGCTTCTCCCTTAGCTTTTGTCAAAGGCCATCATCTAGCAAACAAGCGCAGTTCCAACCTCCCGTACTTGACCTCTTCTCACCTTTTGGATCGTCGGCTACGATCTGAAAGAAAGGAAGAACAGAACTTTCTCACAGATCACCTCGAGAAAAAAAAAGAAAAAGAAGAACTGTCAGCTCATCTTTGTCTTGGTGACAAATCCACACATATTGGCCGGATACTCTTCCTAGACACTTTTCACCAATTTCATTGCCGATGATCATTAGGTGAGCTGCCGTGCGTTGGAACGAGCAGCTGCAGCCCAACGATTCCTCTTTGATTAACTGGTAATCTTCCAAAAAGTCTGTGTTCCACCTTACAACATGAAAACAGTTGCCCCACACAACTGAAACAAAGCAGACCAAACGACGGTGTTACTTTCAACCTTATCAACTGATTCGTCCTCCCTCGATCTTTCGGTTCCACCGCGAACCCTTAACAGTCCACTAGTAACTGCTTTTCGCTCTTCATTTTCTCCCGAGGAAGGCTCGCCAAAACCGCCGCCTTTTTTCACCGACCACCAGCCCACAGCGAGCCCGATGTTCAGCCACGCGTAGTTTTGAACTTTGCCACCTTCGCGTCCTCTCCCCCCTCCCCGTTCCCGTCCACATTCCGACCAGCAAAAGTCCAAAAAGCAAACTTCACCTGAAAAGGAACAATCGATGACGAGCGAAGCACTTTAGTTGACTTCTCTCCATTGCGGAAAGAGCAAAGGAGAGCGAAAAAAATATGGCTGAATCACAGGCTGCTTTAGAACAGGAATTTAACGCCCTCCGTTCCTGAAGGCTTGCAAACGAGTCAAACGGCGCGTATACGATGTCTGTCCACAATGCACAAAATGAAAACTGTACACGCGATATCATGATAACTTCCTCTTGACGGTGGATGCGTCTCCTCAAAAGCGGGACACAGTACCGCGAGTCAAGGATGCAAGAAGCAGCTTCGACTGGGCTATGGAAACTAAAAGAGGTGTAGTTCATGAGTGCCTACTATACACGTTTACCTTCAGCAGTTCAGAGTATAATGCAGTGTGCCCCGCCACGCATTATACCTACGCGAAAGAAATCATTTGGACCGGATCCGGCGGCAGATCACCGTTTGCAACGCTACCCTCATTTAAGGAAGGCATTTTTGCATTCATTATCGCCAATAATGGCATACAACAGAGAACAACAAGACACGTTAACAGAAACCAACAGAGAAAAGTTTCCCACTAGGTTTTGACGTGAACCTCCGGAGGACGGTGGGAAGGACAAGCAAAAGCAGAATAGCAACTGTTGAGCCGTCGCAAAGAAACAACGGAGTGAAGGACGGAAAACGCAAAAGCTAAGGCTTTAACTAAGGATAAGGAGGAAGAGCAGCGTAGAAGAACACACTTGGAGAAGAGAAACACGGTGACACCGTTGTCAGCCTCTTGGTCACCGCGAGCCCTGCAACAAAGTGAAAGGGTTCACGGCGGTTTAAAAAAGAGCTTATAGAGTTCACCAATTGTTGAGACATCAGAGATGATGGTCACTAAAAAGAAATCTTCTTGTGTCCAATTTATGGTAATTAGTGGCGGCAAACAGACATGTGTTGTTCACATGCTCGAGTGGCTTGCAGTAGTTCATACATTCAATACTGCTGACGTAAACGGGTGCCGACGGGTTACCAAACTCATCTGCCGTAGTGCTGAAGCTGTTTTACCGGTACGCTGTGACGAGGCTGTTTCCACCTCGTGTTAGTCATAACGTTCATTTTACTTAACGGAAGCGCTCCCTATGGAGGTACTAGTAATGCTCTCCGCAATTTGTCCAACTTGTCAGAAATAGACATGTGTTGCCTCTGAGTTACTTTACGCTCCGGGAAAATTTACTGCTGCCAGCGGGAAACCAGATGTTCTCTTCTTCGGTGTAACACGTTAACATATTACTCTTGGTTTTGCCGTGCAGGCCGTTGAGGTTATACACGAAAGGTTACACAAGTCAACGAGGGGGAAAAATAAGTGCGTTAAAGATGTGGAATGTGCGAACAAAGCTTATCTTCCTTGATTAGTCTGTAATAAGGCGATTGAGAAGCTGTATGAGTCTGGAAATATGGAAGGTTAGCCGCTTTATTGTGGGGTCTTTGGAAGGGATTAACTTAGCAAAGGATTAGCTCCGTCGAAACCGTGTTTAGCATTCAACATTGGCTTCCCTAGAGAATGCGATGCGGGGCACATTGCATTTTTTCTTCGACAACAGTAGGGAAAGAGATTGGATAAGAACAGTCTACTCTGTGTGTTGGTTTCAGCGGCTTTTCTGGCTTTTCTCAAACTGCAGCAAATCCACCACAATTCTACGTTTTTTTTCCAGTGCCAAGACATGCTACCACCGGAGACGTACTCGGAAGATAACGGGCGCGGTGGAAAATGGAGGGAGGTCTGGGGACAGCTAATGCCGCTAAGTGGTATGTAAGCCGTAAGCAACGGGAAGGAGAAGAAAAAGGGGAAAAAGATGGATTCCAAGACCAGGAAGAGCACAACAGAGATCCAACTGTCATCAAAGACGGCCTAACTCGACACGTGGCAATTAATTAAAGTCAGAACTACCTTAAGAGTCCGTAGTAATGTCTTTTTTTGGACGGCAAAGGTGCCACTTCAACTGCTCATATCGATTCAAGGCCGTTTTTTGAGAATCTAAAGGGAGAACTTTGTTGTTTCGCTTCCGCACTCGCGTTTTGGCTCTCTCTTCGAGTTTTGGATGTACCGATATGAGGACTATCGTTAATTTGCATCTTTGCGTCTGTTTTCGAAACCTGTGGGGTTGGGTATTGTTGCTCGGTTGGTGCTGGCTAGTCGGGCCGGCGGGTGCGGTCGTGGGGCAACTTTGGGGTGGGCTTTTCGATAGGGGGGGGGGGCGGGCGGCCGGCGCGGCGGGGGCCAAAGGCCCGCGAAAAGGAGAAGCCCAGCCAAAGCATGAGGAACGATAGAAGTCGAAAACGACCGGCAGTGATGTCTTGAGGAGTGCATTGGACGGAAGTAGAGGGCGTTCGACAGCATGATGACATTTGTGAAAGAAGCCGACAGAAGAGGTAAGAAGCCGTCGAGGAGAAGCGGTGATCGCTGAAGGCCGTTCACAATAGCTGGCTTTTATGGACCTTTTGATTTGTATGCACAAAGGCAAATTTTCGGGAAGTGGGGCTCACAGTAGAGAGCTCTTTTTTTGCTGTCATCTTGTACTTCCCTTGTGTGGACTGAAAGAGAAGAAACGAGGAGTGATTAACCGTTTCTTGCCTACACACAAGCAGCGAGGTGATTGCAGTTATATGAGGGAAAACAGTTGTGTTGGGCTACCGCACACACTTATCAAACTCCTAAAATGGAAAGGAGCATTATCAGCGCAAAGCATTTTTCCCCAGTAGAAATTCTTTCTTACCCGTTCTTGTCTTTACGAATCTGTTGGTATTCCCCGCTCCCTTCTTCGCGTCTAAAGGATATTTTTTCTGGTTATTGTCATCATGTCAATTGCTCTTGTAACTGGCTGCAACAAAGGCATCGGGTTTTACATTGCCCGTGGTCTTTGCGAAAAAGGATACGCTGTCATCATGGGATGTCGTGATGCTGCGAAGGCAAAGGAGGCGGAAAGCAGAATTAAAACCGACTTCCCTGGTGCTGTTTTGCACCATGTCACTGTTGATCTTTCAAAGCCGTCGACCGTTGCGGCCGCAGCCATCGAGGTGAAAAGTACATTTGGACCCGCAATTGACATTTTGGTAAACAATGCAGGGTTCGCGTACAAGACGGATTCAACGGTACCCTTTCATACACAGGCTGAGGTTTCCGCCGCTATCAATTACCGGGCGACGCGTGCAATGTGTGAATCCTTTGCCCCGCTTATTAAGAAGGGTGGACGCATTGTAAATGTCTCATCTACCGCTGGTACATTAAGCATTATACACGGCGATGCCTTGAAGAAGCGCTGGCTGGCTGCGGATTCTGGCGACGATATCGACTTCCTGGTTGGTGAGTTTCTAGCACACACAAAAACAAGTGATTTTGAGCAACTTGGCTGGCCTGCATCGGCTTATGGTGTAAGCAAACTGGCCAATACAACTTTCACCAGAGTGTTTGGAAAGGCTCATCCAGAGATTCACATTTTTGCGTGCTGTCCTGGTTGGTGTCGCACGGACATGTCGTCACAAGAAGGACTGAAGAGTGCACAGGAAGGTGCAGACACTCCTCTGTGGCTTGCGACTTCGTCTGAGTGTTTAAACGTCATACCCCAAGGCGGCTTTGCGGCCGACCGTAAAGCGATTTAAAGACGTAATCCTTCCTCTGTTATTGCTGATATCGATTTTTATTTTTACGCTGTACACGGTTATTATCGGTTTCATTTTCCCATGAAAACGCTACTATCAAACTCGCTAACTTTCTTTTAAGTTGTTGACCTTCACTTTATGACGTTTTCTCTGTCAAATGTGCGGCTAAAAGTGGTTCACTTCGGCCTCGAAAAGCAGATTAACTTGCTTTGGCGTTAGGACACAAAGCTAAGGTGTATGCTCGCTAATCTTAGGTCCTTTTCATTTTTTCTTCCCTCAAACGCTTCAAAGAAATGAGCTCTGCCAAAGCTGCGGTTCCGGTATGTTGTTCCCGTTGCGGAAAGGTGCTGGGCAACGCAAGAAAAAGTACAGACATCCAATGCCTGAAGTGCAAAAAGTGGTACCACAAGAAATGTTTTATGGCGGAAACCGGAAGCGACACCGATAAAAACAGCAGAACGAGTCAAAGCTGCGTGTGTTGCCTGTCCACCCCGACAGGAGAGGCCAGACTGATGCGTTCCGGTCGCGGAAACAAGTACGCAAAAGAATTTTTGAAGAATGGATTTTGTGTCGTTTTGCTGGGAAACAATGAGGAGGAGCGAAAGCATCTCGATGCTGAGCTCGCAAAATGGGGCGCCGAGGCCGTAAAGTACTTTCATGCTTTACTGAAGACATACGAGTGTCAATCCGAGTTTAACACCTCGGTTCCTACATTGGAAAGTGGTTACTCGAATTTCCGCCAGCGCTGCCCTGGCCGCTTTGAAATAATTGCAGACTTTATAAGTAATAAAGTTGTGCCGTTGGTAGAAAAGTCGAAGGCAGTTCAGGAAACGTTAGATTTTTTGCTATGCAATCCGAAAATGAAAGTTGGCAAAAAAATTATGTCGTCGGGCTGTTTCCTTTCGATGATGGGGAGCGAGACGCAAAATTATCACACTGACGGGCCTGCGCTCAGTGACGTGGTAGATTTATTCCCTTACGCGGTGAACGTATTCGTACCGCTTGTTCCTGTCGACAGTCACAACGGAACAGAGTTTATTCCTGGATCTCACAATGTCGGTGTGGATGGGAAAGCCAAGTCTGTGCGACCATCCGTTGCAGTTGGAAACGCCCTCCTCTTTGACTACCGCGTAATCCATCGCGGACTTCGCAATTCAAAACTCGATCCCCGTCCTTGTTTCTATGCTACGTATTCTCAAAGCTGGTACAAAGACACCTACAACTTCAGCGAAAGCCGTTATAAAAGAAAGCTGGAGGTGAGCACGCAATATCTTGAACCGCGTGACGAGCGCATGGCCAAGAGGAATAAGATTGAGATTGCTTAAGACTGTTTTACCCGTAGCTATCTATATTTGCGTTCAAAAAAGAAGTTCTGTGTACTCATTTATCGTTCTTTTCTCCTCCTTCTATAGAATCATTTTCGATTTTTTTTTGCCTTTTATCTTCTCGTTGTTTTCTTTCGTCAGCTGCGTAGAAGAGCGTTCGTTTCTTTCGATTCGCCACGAATATCTCAAAATGTTCCTTTTTGGTTCTCACACGTGTTTGAAAATGAATGAAAGGTCTGATGCAAGAATACTTTTTTTTTGTTCATTGAAGGCGGTTCGTAAAGAAATGAGCGATCTATTCAAAACTGCCTAAAAAAGAAGAAAAAACGGAAAGGAGTGTTTATAAAAATCGTATTACCCCTTTTTTCGTAACCCGACGTTTGCCAGATGACTTAATAAAATTACTCAAAGCGGCCATATGTTCTAATAGTGACCTCAAGCATTTCACGTCTTTTTCTTTCCCCTTTGCTGTGTCTCATTTTTTTCATATATCCCCAATGCTTTCTATTTTAACCTTCGAAGTGTAATACTCACGTATTTTAAGCACCGATAGAGTTATTTTTGTTTTCTGTTTTGCGTTCAAAATGGGACTCCTCACGCTCCTTCGTAAGCTCAAGAAGAGCGACACCGAGCCTCGAATTCTGATTCTGGGCCTCGATAACGCCGGCAAGACCTCCATTCTTCGTAAGCTTTCCGACGAAGACCCCACAACAACGCAGGCCACCCAGGGATTCAACATCAAGTCGATCAACTGCGAAGGGTTCAAGCTAAATATGTGGGATATTGGCGGTCAGAAGGCGATTCGCGCGTACTGGCCTAACTACTACGACGAGGTCGACTGCCTGGTGTACGTTGTCGATGCGGCCGATCGTCGTCGTCTTGAGGAGACATCGGCGGAGCTCGACGCGCTTCTTCAGGAAGAGAAGCTTCGCGAGGCTCCTGTCCTGGTCTTTTCCAACAAGTGTGACCTGGCAACTGCTCTGTCCCCGGAGGACGTCAGCACGGCGCTGAATCTGCACAGCCTGCGTGACCGTACGTGGTCTATCCAGAAATGCAGTGCGAAGACAGGTGAGGGTCTCAACGAGGGTCTTGAGTGGGCGGTGAAGAACTTGAAGTCAAAGTAGTTCATCAGCATTACTCTTATTTTCTCTACTTCTATTTTCGTGTGTTATACCGACGTGGGTGTTAGGAAAAACAATCTAGACGCTTCTTAAGCTTTCCTTTTCGAATATATATATATATATATATATATATATATATATAATATATA